GGTGAAACGGCTTTCTTTACTGTTGGTTTTCTTAACCCTCCTTATGTTGATGAGCCTATTCAACGCTCCGGGTGGGCTGTTTTTTTTACAGACTAATTTGATCAAGGAGAATTTATTTATTTGGCTGCGTCAGGTCTTAGTTGTGGCATGCGGACTGTTTGCTGTGGTGCGCGGGCTTCTCCCTACTTGGCGCGCGGGCTTAGTTGCCCCACGGCTTGTGGGATCTTAGCTCCCCGACCAGGGATCGAACCCGCGTCCCCTGCATTGGAAGGCAGATTCTTAACCACTGGATCACCAGGGAAGTCCCAGGGAGCACTTCACAGAACCAAAAAACAAAGAAAAAAACACCTGGTGGACAGAATCTGGATCAAATAACGTGTATTTGGTTAACGTTTTAATATTTTAGGTCTTTGCGGTGGCCTAGGTCTCTCTACAAATCTCTGGTGGTGGTTTTCCCTTCACTTGTGAAAGAAAAGCTGGACTGGGGCTTCAGGCAGGTCCAAAGAGCCTCGTTGCTTCTGTCCCCTGTTCGTTCCCCAAACTTGGGTTTCAGTTGGCTGGATGACGCTGCTTTTTCGGTGACAACCAGAAGCAGTGGTGATGTGGGACAGTTAAAGACAGTCTGCCTGGAAGGGGGCACGTGTGTGTTGCTGCCGTGGAGTCGGGACTAGCTTGCAGTTTACGGACTTTGGGCCCTGAAAGCGGATGAGCAGAAATGAAACACGCATGGCTCTGATGCTTTGTGTCTTTGGTAGAGAACTGACCAAAGTTCTGTCCCCCAAACCTGCCCTCCGCAGGGGTCCCTGTGGCCTGCGAGGTGGGCTGCCAGGGCCCAGGCCTCCCTGGCCCCAGCCCGTGTGGCCCACAGCGTTCCGCTTGCTCTCTAACTGCTTGTCGAGCACGTGTTATGTGTGAGACTGCGTTTGGCTCTGAAGATACAGAGGCGAACACAACAGAGGCCCCACTCTTATGGAGCTTAAGGTCCAGGAGAGGATACTGCCAGGGGAGCAAATAAGCAAATAGCATGTGTGCACGCGCGCGCATACACACACACACACACACACACACACACACACCCCCCAAGTAAACAGACACACCCCTTCCCTTTTCATCAGATGTTTTACCCTGAAGTTTTCTGCCCCCGGCTTCCCGTTCCGCATTTTCCGCATTTTTCCCGTGATGCCTTGCACAGAACAAGGGCTTCATAAATATTTATGTGATCTCATAGCAGCTGGTGCTACCCATGTGAAGAAGTACAGAAGGGGTTTAGTTCAAACATTTACTGGACGGTTCTTACACTGCACACACCAGGTGACAGGCTGCGTGAAGAGCTGTTTCAGATGCTGTGTCTGTGATCTCTCAGCCTCCCTGACAGGTACCCTTGGTGTAACCCATGCAGGATATAAGCCAGAGCAGGCTTCAGGAGCCCAGTTCAAACTGGGAGCATCCTAGAGGAGGTGGTGTCTCTACCTGAATGTGTGTCTGCCACGGAAGAGAAGATGAGAATGTCTTGGAGGCAGAGGGACTAAGCCAGGCAGAAGTCCGGAAGCGTGGGACATGCTGGGGGCTCTTCAGTGCCACAGTCATGGCCGGTGCGGGGTGCCCTTTTTGAATGGCCTTCGACCCTAGTCTGGGAGGATGTTGCTGAGTTGAAAGTGTGAGTTTCACACCAGTGGTTCTGGCTGCTCTGTGGAGGCCTCACTTCAGGGGGTGAGGGTAGAGGCGGAGAAAGAAGGGAGGTCTGAACTACAGCAGTGGAGGTGATGAGGGTGGGTCTGCTCTCCAAGCTCAGAGCCCCATGCCCCCCTCTCACTGGCCTCTGCCCGCAGTCGTGCGACATGCCCCGTTGCCGTGCAGGAGGGTTCCTCCAGCAGATGGGACCGCTCCCAGCTTGCGCCCGGACACTGCCGTGTGGTCCAGGAGGTGCTGGGCAGGACCTTTGCACCAGAGGCAGCCTCCTGCTGAAACTAATTCTGTTCCCGTCCTGCCCCGGGGGCCCACAGGCAGCCCCTCCTGGGTGCCTGCACATCAGCCATCACAGTTCCAGCACCAGGAAGCTCTTCCTCTACCACTCAGATGCTTCCTTTCCGTTCCAGTCCTTCCTTACAGCCTGGCAGTCATTTTCTCAATGCCCCCCTTGCCTTACTCATCCCTCCATCAAATATTTGTTGAATCCCTGCAGGGTGCCGATTACTGTTCTCGGACTGTGGGACACAAGGGGAGCGAGGCAGAGGCTCCGATCTCATGGACTTGATCCCTTACTAGGGGAGACAGACCATAATAAACCCACACACACGGTACATCAGGTGGTGATGCCTGCTAGGAAGAGAAAGAGAGCATCTTGGCTTCACTGTGAGGCCAGTCCCAGGTTTCTTCTACAGGGTATGGTGTGTGTTTAATTAAGTCTACAGCGGCTAGGCCTCTTCTCCCGGAGAGGCCGGAGGCTCTTAGAGACAAGGGACAGACAGAAGTCAAGCTCAGGCCAGCTTAAGCAAAAATCAGCATTTGCTGGCCTCACTGAAGAGTCAGGGTGGGGGTGGGGTTGGCTTCGGGCCTGCTGACCCAGGGCCTCCAGCCGTGTCTCCAGGGTTCAGTTTCCTCCTCCATCCCCAGCTCTGCTTCCTGCTGGATTGGCTCTGCTCCAGGGCCCCTTGTGGTGACACCCAGCTGCTGGCAGCCCCTGCAGAGAAAGAGCGCCCCTTCCCCAGTAGCTCCAACGGAAGTCCTGGACCCAAGTCTCATTCGCTGGCAGCGGCCTGGCCTTATTCATGTGCCGCCGTGTCCCCTGGGGCCAGGGCATGCAGTATTCTCCTCCTTGGGCCTGGAGCCAGGTTGGGCTCCATCTAAACCACGGAGGTGAGGAAGGCGGGGGTGGGGGGTGGGGGGGGCGACCCTAGGCTGACCAAAATCCCAGCTCCTTCCTGCACACCCCCGAGCCTTGCGGCTGGCGGGCAGTCGGATGCAGAAGTGAGGCTGGAGTCTGGACCCACAGCCCCGGGTGCTAGGCTTATGGGGTAAAGGGCAGCGCCAGAAGGTGTCTGGGCTCGCCCGTGGTAGACATGGTGTGGAGAAGCTGCAGCTGTCCCCAGAGTCCCTCCAGCTTTCCTTTGCTGTCATTTACTGCCCAGCAGTAAGCACATTCATGCTTTCATTCGATCCCCCGGGTTTGTGGAGCAACTGTGCATCTGTGCTGGGGAGACAGCTGTCTTGGGAAGCGTGGAAGACCCCTCCACGCCTCCACCCTCCTCGCTTGTGGCAGTTTGGTCTCCTAGATGTCATTCACCCCAGTGGTTGCGTGGGCTGTGCCTGGGGAGGACTGTCGTGGTGAATCGGACCCAAGTGCCACAAGGCTTCAGTGAGCACAGCGGAGGGAATGGTCACTGTCGGTGGGCTGTGGCCCCAAAGTGAAGATTGGCGTCTGTCCTACTCCTCTGTGGGGTGGGAATTTTGGGGGTGGGGAGTGGGACAGTGTCCATTTGCCCATCTCGGACTTGTCCTTTTGCCTCCCAAACCTTGTCCCTCCCGCCCCGTCTTCTTTACTGTGGGTGATCGCCTTCGCCCCCTTCCCCAAACTCTGTTCTCTCTGTGTTTCCTCCACTCCTTTTACAACCATCCCAAATCCTTCGCGCCGCCACCATCCGCCCCTCCGGCTCCCTGTCACCTTCACACCTGCCCCTCCCCCTTCACTCTTCTCCTTGAGGCTTCAGCACAGCTGCCTCTTCTCGGGAGCGTTTCCCTGATGCTCCAGACCAGACCCTCCGACCGCGTCCCCCACAAGCGCTCTCATGGCCCGCAAACTGTGTCCCCTCCCGCGTAGTGGTCCTGCCGGGTTAAAGCTGTGTGAGTGCGGGTTCCTGGTTCACCTCGGCTCCACACAACTGAGGGAGGGGGAAGGGTCGTGCGAGTGCTCCCCAAATTCATGATCCCCCGGCTTCCCATATGGCCACGCCACTCTCCAGGCCTCGAGTGCTGAGGGAGGCCCTGGGCACGCCCGCAGGACTCATGAGCGCACCCAGAGCCACGCGCCCCGGCCCCAGGCAGTGAGGCAGGCGCCTCTGGGCCCCCCCCACGGGTTAAGGCAGTCCTCGTCCAGAACCTGCTGGCCAGCGGCAGGGCCTTCCTCAGCGGCCGCCTGCTCGGGCAAGTGGCCAAGAGCCATGGACTCAGCTGCCTGAGAACGACCGGCGGCATCTCCCTGGTCCAGTGACAACATCCCAAAGGGTTTCTTCCTTCAGCAGCAGCTGTGCAAGATGGCCTTTCAGACTTCTCACAACTCCACACTTTTTTTTTTTTTAACGGGCACTCACTTAGAGACCCAGGTGGAATGCAGGGCTGACTTGAGCGGAGTAAGCTCTCCAAAGAGCATGCGTCCCGTGGGCAGAGGTTGCAAATGGGTCATACCTGGCCTCAGCTGGCCTGCAGATGTGGAAAAATTAAAAACCTAGGGATTTCCCTGGCGGGCCAGTGGTCAAAAATCAACAATTTCATTGCTGGGGTCCGGGTTCAATCTCTGGTCGGGGAGCTAAGATCCTGCAAGCCACATGGCACGACCAAAAAAAAAAAAAAAAAATTAAAAAGCTAAACTAGTCTCCAGCCTTTGAAATTGGGGACCTGCCATCTCTGCGCCTCGTTCCTGCAGCACCACGGTTGGTGGTGCTGAGTAGCAGCCACCCGGGCACCCTGCAGCCTGGCCACCCTCCACACCACACTCCCTCCATCAGTGACATGGCCTGTTCTGAGTGAGTCTTGGAACCTTTTTATTGGTGTGTACATGGACACAGAAAAGTGCACGTATCCTACCACTGTGTCGAGTTTTTTCACACTGAACACTTCCCCTCATCCATGTGAAGAAACTGTTTTCTAAGCTATTTGATGATCTTTTGAGTTACTAGTTTTATACCAGGTTTGTTTTTTGTTTTTACTTATTACAAACGAATGTAGCTTTGTTTACTGTACGAATATAGTGTTGGGGGGAAAAACACCAATTTTTCTTTTTGCAGAAAAGCCTGCCATTGCTCCGCCCGTCTTTGTGTTTCAGAAGGATAAAGGACAAAAGGTAAGGGGCCGGTATGTTCTCCCTTCACATGGTTAACTCTGCCTTGTTTTCTCCCCAAGCTCTCTCTCCCCAGGTCGCATGGCCAAGGAACCTTCTGCCATGGAGAAAAGGCCCGGTGGCTTTAGGTTACCATGGCACGAGGTTAAGATGGGGTGTGTATGGACAGGGCTCAGAGACCCTGCTTTAAAAAAGCAGTGGAAGAATCAGCTTCCTTCTCATTCCTAATGTTTCGCTTTAGAAGTACTGCTGTGCATTAGGAAATCTGGTAGGAGGGAGAGAAAGGGGGCCGGGGACGGGGGGAGGGAGGAGAGGAGAGGGAGCAGTGCTGATTAAGGGGAAAGTAGGACCTTTAAAGATTTTTGCGGGATTTTTTTGGCCCCAGCCAACTTGCCATAAATGCATTTTGAACAATTAGTAGTCAGCTTGCATTATATATTCACCACCCGTCTTTGTTAGGTTGCTTCCCCCTTCTTGCGCTTTAAATGTCTTGTTTTCCCTGATGTTGGAAGTACCTCGCCTAATTCATCGTGATGAGCTAGCAGCCCGTCAGAGGACTGGTGGGTGCATGCGGCAGTGCCTTCCCACAAAGTCGCGTGTGGTTGCTTATCTTGAAGTCATTGGGGTTGTCTCCCTCCCTGAACGGATCAGCCTGGAAGGTCCGGGTTGTGTCCAGAGATGGTTGATGTTCTGTGGTGATGCCTCCCAAGCTTGTATGAGGACTCCCCCTATTTGTCAAAAAAATGGCTGGTCCCTGCCCTCATGCCCGGGACGTGACAGCAGGTGTGATGTCATAACCACGGCAAGATTTCAGGGTGACCAATGCGCTGCGTTGATGCAGGTGTTCTGAAATCCGTGTGCGTCTTGTTGATGAGGACAGCATTTGAGGGGCTTCTCGGCTCAGGGCCGTGACGCACAGACCAGGTGCTCGGGTGGATATCCGGTCCCCCCACAGGGTGGCCGGCTTTGAGTTTGGGGGCTGCTGGCCTGGCGATTTGGGACTCCTGGCGGCCCGGCTGCTGCTTGTAAACCCTGCCCCTTGGCCTGAAAAGAGAGCAGCCCCAGCGTTCAAGGGCTGTGCTGGGGAGGGTGCGGGAAGGAGAAGCGGCTGCCCTGAGACCCCTACCCGCACCCCCGCGCGGGGTGTCTTCTGTGTCAGCCGGGGCTCATCTGCTAGGCTTGTTCTCAAATTAATCTTTCCCGTTGTTAATTCTTATGCCAAAGAATCTTTTTAGGAAACAAAACAAGGAAATGTTCTTCCCTTTTGGTTTCAGTTTTCCGAGTGGTATTTTCAAGATACATCAACCTCTGCCGTCCCCTGTCCCTTGGGCCCTGACCAGTGCATACATGTGTTTTTATCATTTGTCCTTTGGAAGTTCAGTCACTGTGAAGGGGCTTGATGTGCTTCTGGCTTTTAGAGGTGGGTGTGTTTGGTTTCTGCTTCAGATGTAAAAGTCACTTCTCTTAGGTTTTCCGTAAAATCGGGATTTTCTAGAATTTTGAGTTTTATTATGATTTTCTTTTGAACCACTTTTAGTTTGAAACAGGGGTCAGCCAACTAAGAGGGCTGCCGCCACTGCTGTTTTTGTCAATAAAGCTTTATTGGCGTTCGGCCCCGCCTGGCCCATGCAGAGAGCTGAGGCCACACCTGTGCTGTCCACAGCAGAGTGAAGGGGTTTGGACTGAGACCAGGTAGCCTGCAAAGTCGTACATATTTAGTATCTGGCCCTTTACAGAAAAAGTTTGCCAACCCAGATTTGAAACAAGTAATTGGAATGAATAATTCTTAAAACCTGAAGACTTTCTGACAGCCAGCAGGGTGAAACGCTAAAACGTAATGTTTATTTGACTGAATTTAAAATGCTTTTAAAATGACTAACTCTTATTTCAGTACTGTTTTCACGGTTGAGGTGGTTCTGTTGCTTCGTAATTCAAAGGCTGACTTACACGTGTCACCTTCAGAAGGTTGATGCCAATTGCGTAAACGGGGTGAGGTTGAACCCGAAGAGTCTCCAGGGAGGTGCTCGTCACCGTGAAACTGTGCGCATCAAAATATTGACTCAGTGCCAGCTCTAAATGGGCTTCTAGAAATAACTGACCTCCAGCTCTTCAGAGTTCGCCTGCTGTCACACTTGTGTGACAAGATCATCGGAAGGGCACGGAAAACCTCTGCGTCTAACGGCAGAGGCCGGAGGAGCCTGCATGTCCGTCGGGGCCGCCCTCTGAGCTGCCGGGTGGGCGGCTGCCCAGTGGACACAGAGCCCTCCTCCTTTCTCTGCTGCTATGACAGCTCGGGCGTCGGGCGGGAAGGAAGCGGAGAGGCTTGGACAGCCGGCTTCATGGCCGCATGGCTCCCCGGCCCAGGGGAAGCGACGGGAAGGTAGGTCTGCAAGGAGTGGCCACGACACTTCTCACAAAATGACGCCTTGAGACCCTCCCAGCTTCCCCCCCTCGCTGCGATTTCAGCCCTCCCTCCTCACGCCACAGTAGCAAGAGTTGGGAAGATCTGTTCAGGTTGCCGTTGTTTTTTTCTGAGGGAGCTTTTATTTCCCCTTTTCAACTTTCTGTTTTTGAAAAGTTTTTCAAATCCTTAAAAGAATGGTACTGTGGACCCTTGGGTATCCTTCAGCTGGCTTCACCATTAACATTTTTATCATAAATGCCAGAAACGCTCGACTATAAGTTGCACCCACCTGACAGTTTTCCCCTAAATACTTCAGCACAAGTGTCTCCTAGGAATTCTTCTCCATGGCCCCAGTGCCATGGGCACGCCTGAGAAAATGATAATTAATTCAGAAATACCCTCTAATATATAGTCCACATTGAAATTTTCCAAATTGTCACCTAGGTCTCCCATACAGCTGTTTTTTGAGCCACTTTTTGATCCACAAAGATCAAGAAGTCCCGTTGTCAACTGTGGGAGCATTACCTTCTTTCAGTGAATGATCTCTAAACCACCAGTGCCCCAGTGGGATGCACTCCAAGAGCCCACAGCCCCCTTGAAAGGCTTTGAAATCAAAAAGAAAAAAATTAGGCTGCCAGCCCAGGCGTTTTGGTGTTGGTTTGGTGACAAAGACACACAGGATTTTCCGTCAGGCCCATAGACAGTTGGAGTTGCATTTGCAGCAAACCACAGATTGGTGGTGGTGGCCTGCCGGTGGCATCCCTTGGTCTCAGGACAAGTCGTCAGATCCTCCCATTGTTCCGTGTTAGAGCATCGGGCAGCAGCGGAACTCCAGTCCTGACGCCCGAAATGCAAACCTGGAGCCAGACTGACAGCACAGGAACTGTCTCTACTGCTTTCCTGTTCTTGAGCTTCCTCAAGATGGCGCTCTTCACAAAATGCTTGCATTTCCACGCATTTGTGTTTTAGGGGCAAAAATGAAACCTTTTCTTAACTGCCTTGAATGGAGACAGACAGTTTTTTTCTCTTTAACGTGAAGAGAATTTGAATCTCCTTCCGTAGTTTGTTTCACTGTTTGTGACGACTGAATGTTTCTTTCATTTACTTTATTTTCCAAATATTTGCTAATCTGAAGGCAGAAGATTTTGGGGTTGCACTGGCAGGATAATGTCCATTTAGCAAAAAGGCAGAAAGCAGTTACAACAGCAGTTGGGCAGAAAGCAGGGTGTCCCCGACAACACTGGAAGCTTACTGTGTGTGTAACAAGCGCACTCTGTATGCGTGGTTTTTTGTCAGCCACGTATATTTTAGGATGATGTCAAAGCCTGCCAAAATCTCGATGTCCGATTTTAACAAACATGTTGAAAAACTACAGGCTCTATCTTGGTTCCTTAGAGCTTACTCAGACCCAAGGAGAAAATGCTGGAATGGCATTTGTATTTCTTTTTGGTCCTCCGACGTAGGCTTCATCTCTAGTCTGCCATGCCACGAGGGCATTTCTACATTTATATTCGTAAAGCAGGGATTTTAAAAAAAAATCCAAGTGCTTCTGAACAGAGATAGGCAATTTCCCCTAGAGCTCTGGGTTTCATTTTCTCTTTAAAATGGTGTTAAATCTCTAGCCATAAAGTAGCAGCAGACTGGTGCGTGGACCAACCTCAGTGCCTTGGACAGGTTTGAGGAATGGCCTGGGAAGGAGGGCCTTTTAAAGTCTTTGGCTCTCCCCTGCATTGGAAGAGTCGATTTGGGTGGCTTTTTTAGATGTATGGATGAGTTGTGTTGCTTTTGCTTTTTCATAAGAATGTTTGAAAGTTCTCTTAAAATCCTCTATGTAGTTCCTTTCATCTAGCAGGCTCACACATTTAAAAATAGTCCCACGTCCTATCTAAAGAGGTTTCAGTCACTTCACAGGCAGGAAGAACACAGCCGCGTCTGCAGGGAGGCAGGGTGGCCCCGTGGTCATTTAGTTCACAAGCGAGAGAAACGTGTGGTGGACGATGCCAGGCAGGAGGCTTGGGGACTGGAGCCCATGTATTTATAACAGGACCCCAGCTCTGTAACGCACCTCTCAAGAAGAATCTTGGCCACAGAGCCCTCAGCCCATGGAAGCCCCTTTAGAATCCCAAGAACCACCTCAAAGGATGCCGGGGGCGGGGGGGGGGGTCTGTGTTTTTGAGGACGAAGACTTTGGGGACCGGCTTCCCCTTACCCTGGCTGTTTTCTAGATAAGCCCTGGCTTGGGATGTGCGGTGGGAGTCTGGGAGAATTGTGGGCCGAGGGGCTCCCTCCTTCAGCCGGAGCCCCACCCACCTGTCACTGATACAAAACCGGCTATCTGTGTGTCTGCCAGCTCGCGGGGTCACCCCACACCTGCGCTCGCCGAGCAAGAAAGCGTTCCCTTCCTCTCGGGTTTAAGCAGCAGAGATGGGAAGGTGCTGGCGGGGCCGCAGCCAGTGCAGAAGCCCTGGCCCCGCCGCCCTGGCTCTCCCAGTGGCCAGACAGGGTGCTGGCGCCCACCTTCCCTCACGAGTATGTTTGAGTGGATGGGTTATTAAGCCCTGGGGACAGTTTGACACAATTGCCCCTGTTCCCCTCTGCCAGAGGCACCGCCCCCGTCTTGGTCACAGGGGTGTTTCCTCAGTCGCTGCCATCGGCAGAGGATCTCTGTGCCACAGGGGCCACCTTGCAGTTTTCAGAAGGAGGGTCCAACTTCTTGCACACCTCAGAGCTCCCTGCCAGGTCCGACAGCAGCAGGTCCGCGCTCACTGCCCTTCTGTCAGTGTGGAGGGCTGGCTCTATGGAGCAGAACGCGGTAGCATGTGCCGGCTCTCTTGGCCTGACCTCCCGGGCAGGAGCTGCTGAAGGCCGAGCATCTCCAGACCTTCCCCTGCCCCCCTCCCCTGCCCCGCGTTGCTGGCTTTATTTACATTGAAGGAAAATTGTCTTTTTTGCTCCCAGTCCTCTGCAGAGCAAAAAGACTTGTCGGATTCGGGAGAGGAGCCTCGGGGGGAGGCTGAGGCCCCCCACCATGGCACGGGTCACCCCGAGTCAGCTGGTGAGCATGCCCTAGAGCTTCCTGCCCCCGCTAGCGCTTCAGCCAGCGCTCCTGAAGCCCAGCTTCCTCCTTTTCCACGAGAACTGGCAGGGGTAAGTCCACCTCCTCCCGGCATCCCATGGCCCGGGGCTCCCAACCCGGCCTGGCCCCTGTCCCTCCGGGCCTCAGATCCACAGCCCAGGTTGCCAGCAGCTGATGAAAACTGATAGAGACGACGGGAAGGCCCTCCTCAGCTCCCTTTAGTCCCTGCTGCCGAGAAGTCAGGAAAGAGGAAGTCCCCTCTCACATTGAGACTCTTCTGGTTGGGGGAACACTTACCCATAGCCGGAAGCTAGTCCTGGTTCCTGAAGGAGGCGAGGGGGCAAAAGAGGAATTGAGTAGTGGGGTAGAACCTTCCACAGCAAATTCGGCCCCTTCTCCCTCCTTCCATTTTTCCTTCTCCTCTCCCTGAATTTGGGCATTCAAGTTCAGTTACCTTAGAAACACAAAAGGCTCCGGCTTCCTTGACCTATAGGAAAAGGTGTCTACCGCAGATTGCTTTGCAAGACTGGTTGTGTTTGGACTGTGGTTGGGCTGTGAACTGCTTGTCTTCAATCAAAGCAGGAAGAAGAAGAGACTCTTCCTTTGAATCCAGAGGGAATCCCTTGAGCCCTTTATCTTTGTATTCAGAAGGCTTTTGAAGATTATAGGTGGAGAAGATTGTGAGCTCTCCAGAACAAGAAATGTCTTGAGTTTTTGGAGTTTGATAAATTGGGAAAGGTAAACATTAGCCTACATTCAGGATCGAAAACCTCGTCGTCTCGGTACCTAGTGACAGAGTCCCCCATTCTCATGACAGGGGAAAATGACTTTCAAGAAAACAGAGGATCCCGCTCTGCCACACTGAACCCTGGGCAGCCTTGCAGGGTGTCACAGTCCCAGGCCTTACCCCAGACCTTTAGCGGTTCCCTGTGTCCCATCACCAGTCTCCTATGTCCTTAAGGAAGCCGCTAAAATTCTGTTAGAGCCACCAAACTCTGGGATACGCAGGAATAAGTGATACTCAGCCAAGGTGAGGTTGGAGCCAAACTTTAACATTCTGGAGGAATCCGTGTGTGGTGGGAAAAGAAGAAACAGGCTTTCCCTGTGTGGGGCGGGGTATGGGGAGTCCTGCGTGGCATAGAAATGGGCTTGGGGTAAGGAAGCCCACGAGAGGTTCCGGCCCGAGGGGCTTAACACCAGAGAGTTCTGGGAGCATAGTCCTCACACGAGGGCTGACAGCAAGAACTCAGAGGCTTTTCAACTTTTGGGGTTGGAGGCAGAGCAGCTGCTGGAACCTTCTCCCAAATTGGGCGTTATGAGTTTCATGCCTTCGGCCTTTGCAGGTACATGTTTCCAGTTCCCTGAGAACAGATGATCTTTGTGCGGATCTGCCCAGGAGACTGGGCCCTTCTGCTGCTGCCTGGGTTGAAAAGCACGGTTTACGGAGCATCTCCCACTGAAGAGGTTGAGGGTTTTCAGTCTAGGGTGGCAAACAGTAGAGGCTGCGTCACGGCAACTGCCTTTCCAGAAGCGAGGCTCTTTCGGGCCCCTTACTTCTGATGACCACTTGGTGAGACGGGGCCTGTGCAGGAAGCACCCTGGGGGCCTCGCCTTCGGGCTGTGGCCGGTCCAGACAGTGATTTCTGAAGCCTGGCCGGTGGAGCTCGGCTCCTCAATTCTTTTGGACTGTGGGTCAGAGACTCTAATTCCGAGACATTCAAGCAGTGCCCCAACTGGCAAATGCAAGGTCAAGCTCAATGGCAGGGAGCCTGGGGATGGTTGTTACGTCACGTGGGAGAGAGCCGGGGCTGGGGGAAGCAGTTTCTGAATGTACCAGCGTCGTAGCCAAGGCCATGCCCGTGACATGCACGCGTGTAACTGTGGGGACCCCAGTTCCGTCAGAAGTCCCAGCAGCGTGACCATCACATCGCTTGTGACAGCTCTGAGTCAGCCAGGGCTTTCTCTGCTGATCAGGCATCAAGGCAAAGTAACCTTTGTTTTTTAGGTCAATTAGGGCATAGATCAAGGCAGATGGAACCTGAGCCCAGCTTCTTCCCGGGCTCAGATGTCTCTATGGCTAACTCGGACTAGTTGCTTTTGCATCGGAGCAGATTTGGAGCTTGCTCTGTGCCACACTGGAGTTCAGGAAACACCCACATGTTACCCGACAGGTCCCATCCCTCACGTTTAGTCTCTTCTTTATTCCACCATCCCTTGAGCGAGTGTAAAGCTGCAAATTCTTTATAATAAATAGTGGCTCGCTGAATTGTTGCCTATAAAGGGCCCTTATTGTCTTTCAGTCTCATCAGAACTCTGGCCATTGAAGACTCAGTACCAGGAAAAAGTCTCAATATATCAGACTTCCTGGCTCTCACAAGGCAGCTTGAAGGAGACCAAACCACATCCAGATTAAGTTGTCCGTTTGATCCGGAGAGAGTGAGCGCTCCCAGTGCTCACTTGGAGGCTGGCTGCAGTCTACCAGACTGAAGCTCTGCATCAAGGCACTGCCGAGCCTGAAATATGTTTATGAGACCCACCAGGAAGCTTAGAAAGAGTCTGGACCCAGCCCCTTATCCTCTGGCATCTGCACAGGGTTTGACCCTCGTTCCGCCCTGCCCCTGCCCAGCATTCACATCTTGGGAGGCCACCTCTCTTTTTCTTTTTTCGATGTCTGCCTTTTTGGTAAGAATCTCTGAGCTGGTTCCCTCAGTTACAGAATAAACAGCAGCGAATCTGCCTGTGGTCCACATGAAGGCAAGGACACCCCTTAAGTGACTTTTAATCCCAGGCGTCCATTTTCCTGCAACCCCAGCAGTGGGCTTTCTAAATTTTATTTATTTATTTATATTTTTTATTTTTGGCTGCGTTGGGTCATCGTTGCCATGCACGGGCTTTCTCTAGTTGCAGCGAGCGGGGACTACCCTGTGTTGCGGTGTGAGGGCTTCTCATTGCGGTGGCTTCTCTTGTTGAGGAGCACGGGCTCTAGGTGCGTGGGCTTCAGTAGTTGTGGCGCGTGGGCTTCAGTAGTTGTGGCGCACAGTCTTCAGTAGTTGTGGCGCACGGTCTTAGTTGCTCCACGGCATGTGGGGTCTTCCAGGACCAGGGCTCGAACCCGTGTCCCCTGCACTGGCAGGCAGATTCTTAACCACTGCGCTACCAGGGAAGTCCAGCAGTGGGCTTTCTAACTGGGCCGTCCAAGTGGGGAATCACTGAGTCCCAGGCAGGCCAAACGGTGTCTGGCATTTTCTGGAAGGAATTTCCCTGACATGGTGTTGCTTTCTGGTCTTTTCCGGGAGGTCAGGAGGGCAGCACCGTTCATTCCTGCTCACTGCCCATTTGTCTGTGTCTGTGTCTGAGCTCCATCCCCTCCTCCTGGACTGGCCTGGCAGCCTTGTCCTCTCGAGGCCACGCCAGGCAGCCTCGTGAGAGCCATGTTTGGGAGGGGGGAGGGTGCAAGCCTTAGCAAAGTGAACGATCGTAATTTTATTTTTTTTTTACAGTCATAATTGTATTTATTGATTTTTTAAATTTTTATTGAAATACAGTTGATTTACGTTGTGTTGGTTTCAGGTGTACAGCAAAGTGATTCAGTTAACGATTGTAGTTTTCGTTGTTTCATCCTTTACACCAAGATCAGAAGCTTCTCACACCTGTGGTCCCATCCTGGGTTAGGCGTTCCCTCCTATTTTGTACTTGGCAACAGGGACTTATACGCACCTCACAGAATGAGCTGCTTCCCCTGAGGTTCCAGTGTCTTCTGAGGGGAGAGGACTGTGCTGCCTGTCCCGCCCGCTGGCGGGACTCAGGCCACCTTGCAGCGCGCAGTCGGGGGGCTTGCTCGCTAGGCCGCGGCCTGGCCGCCGTCCACTTCATTCGTTCACCAGCGCCAGAAAAATAAGTTGAAGTGTTCTCTTTGGTCTTCTTTCTCTTTGGCCTCCTCAGGTAAGTGTTTGTTGGGCATATTTTCGTCATGGCATCCTTAAAGGGTGCTGGTCCCAGCGTCCCCGGGGTGTCATTCTGAAGCCCCAATCCTTGAGTGGTGGCTTCTGCTGTGGGAAGAAGCAGAGGAGGAAATGGGGCTTCCACACCCTGCTCTGTCCCCGCTCCTCCCCAGAGGCACAGATCCTGAGAGCCTGCTCTTAAAATCCTCCTCACAGGAGTCCCTGGAGCAGTGGCTCCTGAGTTTTGGCTGCAGCCTTCTGGGCTCCAAGGAGTTGGGATTGCAAGGCCGGACTCCATGTGTGTCCCAGGCATTGTTCTAGACTGACCCCTGAAGAGCTGTTCCCTTGGTTGGGGCGAGGGGTGGCCCCCAGACCACTTTGACATGGAAGACGTCCTGACCCCCAGGCTGCTGTGTCTGAGGACAGTGTCTGTGGAGCTGGCATTGGCCTTGTGTGGGTTGAAGGGGAGCTGCTGCACACCAGGCCTTTTCCTGCTTTGGTGGAAGACGGCATGAGGCAGCCAGGCCCAGACAGCAAGCGCAGGCCTTCCCCGGCAGGAGCAGGGGACAGGCTGCTTCTCGCACGGGCAGTGGTGGAGGGTTTTTAGCTGTCAAGTAGGCTCCAAAGGCAAGCAGAAATGACTTCACTTTGCAGTCTGTCTTCCTGCTTCCTTGCCCTAGTTCCTACTGAGGAGAGTTGTTGGCATCACTTTCCTCACTGCTTCTGAGTCGGCTGTTTCAGACCCACCAGGAGGTTCCAGCAGCTTCTGGAAGGTCCTCCCAGTTGGGGAATCTTCCTGTGCTGTCCTTTGCAGGCCTTAGCCTCCCAGCTTTTCCAGGACCAAGAGGCCTGCCACATGCCTGTGGGGTGGGTCTTAGAATAGACTCGGAGCATGGATTTGAGGGTCTCCTGGGGTCAGGGGTCTAGGAGTATCTGATCTTGTCTGGCCAGGTGCCCTTTCTTTTCCAGGTCACCAAAGGGGCAGTGGCGGAGGACAGGCTCCATTTGTGCAGTACTTGCTGAGCGTCTTTTGTGCAGTGTCCTGGGTGTGGGGTGTATGAGCTGTGAGCAGAACAGACAGGGTAGGGCCTCATGGTAGCAGGAGACGAACAACAGATGGACACATTAGATCACATCCAACTGTGATGCACAAAACAGGGCAGAGGCCCGAGAGAAGCTGGAGGGTAGGGTGGAGAAGAGCTGCTCCTGCTTGCTGGGTGATGATGTAGCCCGTGAGCAGGGGTTCACCCTGGAGGTGGTCAGGGACAGCTGTGCAAGTAGCATGTGAAGAAGGAACACTGAGGCAGGAACAGGGTTGACATGTTCAGGAGACAGGAAGGAGACAGCAAGGCTAGGGTGTGATGGACGAAGGGGGCCCAGTGCTGCAGGAGGCCGCCCGGCCTCGGCAGTCCTGGGCCCCAAGAGGCGGGCTGCAGCCCCTGAGGTCTGGGTAGTTTTCTGGAGAAAGGCTCCTAGCACCCATCAAACTTTCAAGGAGACCCAGATCCCTGAGAGGTTTGGGGTGTCACTGGCAGAGGCGAGGAAGTTAAGTGTTGTTAAAAGTGCCCCAAAATCCACGAAGCAAAAACTGACAGAATGAAGGGAGAATAGACAATCCAGTACATTGTTGGAGACCTCAGTGCTCCTCATTCATGTTCAGGTGCTAGAACGTCCAGACAGAAGCAGGACAAGGACAGAGAGGACTTCAGCAGCTGCAGGGCACATGGTCCTCTCAGGGGCATGCAGGAAGCTGCAGGATGGACCACTCACTAGGCCACAAAACAAGTCTCAGCAGATTTAGAAGGATTGAAATCACACAGAGTCTTCTCTGACCACAATGGGATAAAATTAGAAATCCGTAGCAGAAGGAATGCTCGGAAATTCACACATGTGGAAATTAACCTAGCTAGCCAAGAGGAAAGGTGGGGGTCCTCTTGAGATTGAGGTGACAGAGAACTGTCCTCCCCAGCAGCTGAGAAACAGGACGACGCTCTGGCCTCACAGCTTTTGGGTCCGTTGCTCTGTGTGTAACTTGGGGGACACATGCCTTGGCAGCTTCTCCATGGCCCATGGAGTGCCTGGAATCCGGCTGCTTCCGCTGAACACAGGCCAGTGAAGCCCCGCTGTGTGCTGGGGCCACACCCTCCTGGAACTTAGAGGCTAGAGGGGGACCCTGACACTGACGCACGGCTGGAGTGAGAGCCGTGGAGAAGTGCAGGGAGCGGTGAGGCCACAGCCTGAGGGGTTTTCGTCTGGGGGGCAAGGGAAGGGACGGTGTCCGTGGGTGAGGGAGCGGTGTCTACAGAGGCAAGGGGCTGGCCATTTTCCAGGTGCCAGAAGTCATTCAGGAAGCAGCGGATCCCACAGGCCCCAGAGGCTGCCATGGGCAGGTTTGGGAGAGTTGAGATGCTTGTTGAGTGAAAAGGTGGGGGGTGGGGGGAGTCGAGGATGGGACTTGAGGGCGAGGGCTGGGCTGGGGATGGCCGGGCCTGCTGTGGAGGAGTAGGAGGGAGGGGCCTGGAGCTTGCACCTTCATGGTGTCACCCAGGGCAGGGGAGCATCTGAGAGGAACACCCGATGTTCTGGTGACATGGCTCCGTTCTGTCAGATGCCAGCCTGGGCCCTGTAGAATGACAGCACTGCAAGAGCGCCTCTCTGGGCCCCCCATGCTGAGACCCTCTTCTCTGCTCCTCCAAGGGTCCCTTGGTCCCTCACCTGGCTCTCCCACCTCCCCCAGCACTGCCCCGAAGTATGGCATCCCGAGGGGGTGAGCTGGCTGGGAGAGCGTGGCCTGTCCATTTGCGAGCCGCGTGGCATTGCCTGCTCAGCCCACTGACCCCCTGCACCTCCCTCCCTACGGGGGAAGCGCTGGCCCCGCCATTTTCCAAGCGAAGAAGTGGAAGCTTGGGCCAGTGAAATAATTTGCCCCGCCTTTCAGGTTTAGGACATGCAGAGCTAGGAGAAGCTGACTAGGCTTGGCAAGCCTTCGAGAGCAGGATTTAGTGCCTTCATGCTCTGAGCTCGAGCCCTGGCCACTGTTTTGCACTCATGTAGAGCCAGCCTGCTGGACCCTTGGGTATTTTATTTCATTTTGGGCCCCATGATATGTTCACGTATTGAGCCCCTGTCGTGTTCCGAGGGTTTCGTGTTTCCCAGGCATTTTGGTGGATGGTCTCTGATGGGGGGGTTGGGGGGGAAGGCCAGGTTGGGGTCCTTTTCTTACCATCCAGGCTCTCACTGTCCTTTAGGATGGGTCTGCAAACTCTGCCCCCCGCCTGTTTTTGTCCAGCCTGCAAGCTAAGATGGTGTTTTAAAGGATTGTAAAAACAAAATAAAGAATATACAACGTGTGGCCCGAATGGGGCCTGTGAAGCTGAAAATACTTTCTGGCCCTTTACAGGGAAAGTGCCACCCCAGCTCTGGGAGGTCCCCCAGCTTCTCGTCTGCAGTTTTCTTATTTACAGCAGTTACTGCTTTTACACACGGCTTTGCAGCTTGCCAAGCACTTTCCCATGCATCATCTCATTTAATCCCTAACAGCTCCTCGAGGCAGGTGGTCCTCCTTTGGCTAAACTTGACTCCTGAGGGGCTTTTCTGAAAATAAGCAAATTGGCTCCCCTGCTTGCTCTTAAACCGGTGACCTGGGGGCGGGGGTGGTGATGTTCACCCTTCAGAGTTTGCTTTTGGCTGCTTAGTTCTGAAGAATCTCATGTCCCTGAGAGGGGATGTACAGCAGGGACTGTGTATTATCCCACGTGGGGCGGGGGCTCATTATAAGCTTCTTAATTGCTCGTCCGCATTCTAAAATTAAAGGTTGTCGAGGAGGAGATTCTTCGGCCACCTTTCACTCTCAGCTGACGATTGTTCGGTGGGTTCTGCGGTCTGAGCTGTTGTACCTGGGGATTCTCTTCTGAACACTTTGGCCCAAGGCTTCAAAGCTCTCGGCTGCTCTGGAAATAACAGCCCACCTTGAAACAGTTCCATACCATGGGATGTGCCAGGGCCAGGAATGGGAACCACCATGACCCAGTGTCACGCAGCCAGTGTCAGCGGTCCTGCAGCCCTTCAGGGTGCAGAGAGGGTCGCTTTCCAGCTCTTGGCAAAGTGAACTTGGCCAGATCCAGTTTCAGTGTTTGAATTGGGGGGCTGGGGTGGGGGAACACCAGTTAGCTGTACCCGGTGGAGAAACACGGAAACTGATCCTGTGCTGGGAACGCGTTCCCAGCCGTTAAGAGGATTCCTTGGCACGAGGCCTGGTGAGGCAGAGGCGTGACGGTTCATGGGGGATTTTTGAGCATTAGGTTGAAAGCCTGTCTGTGACCCGGGTGACTGAGCCCAGGCCACGTGCCCTCAACGCTACATTTCGGGATCCACATTTGTGGCAGAAGTCAGGAGCTGCCGGGCCCTGGGCCGCGCGGCCCTCTCTGACCGCCCTTACATGTGTTCTTGTTTCAGAGGTCAGCCGGAGGCTCCAGCCCCGAAGGTGGAGAAGGTGAGGAAATCTCTCAAATGTTTCACCAGTTTTGGTTGTAAAAGCGGAAGCAGCCTGATTTTTCTCCTCCTCCTAATTTTCTGTAGATTCTGACCGAGAAGATGGAAATTACTGCCCTCCCGTCAAGCGAGAAAGGACATCCTCTTTAACGCAATTCCCGCCTTCACAGTCAGGTAACAGTTACAGCCCTTCGTTAGACGGTGAAAGCACCTGTGTTTCCAAGCCCGCTGTTCCCCTCCAGCGCCTCACACCCCTGTCTGTCCCCTGTGCACATCCCGTTAGAATTAACTCAGTCTCCGTCAGGAGTGAGGCTGGAGCGTGCCCGAGGGTAGCACAGGTGCCCCCGTCTGGAGGGGTGAGACCTAGTAGACTATTAATAAGCAAGGCTTGCGAAGAAATCGTCCCTCTGAAAGGGACCGTCAGGGCCCTGGTCGGGGCTCTGACCATTAAGCGCACGTCCACCTTGCAAGGCCGCTGGCTATGTGTTGACTGAAGGTGGGGGAAATGGGGTGTCCTCCTGGCCCTTCAGCCATGTGCCTAGAGCCCGGTGGGCCAGTTGAGAATCCCAGGCACACACGCAGACAGTACATAGGAGGGAGTCCAGTGGCCCCAGCAGGCACTTTGGTGGTGGAATACCGTGAGCTTCCCGACGAGGGGGCTTGGGGGAGCCTGGAAGGGTTGGCCAGGCTGGGACCCTGTCCCTGTGGTTGTGGCTGGGCCCAAGGGCTTGGAAGCTCCAGCCTGGTGCCAGGTCTGCACACACACACACAGGCCAGCAGACCAGCTGGTGGACACAGGTTGGTTCAGGCAAGGGGCGGGTTCCTGGGGTAGAGGGAGATGCTGGGACTACTTAGCAGGGGGCTCTGCAAGCCTGGGGACACCCCTGCCCCTTGGAGGGTAAAAGCTGCGGCAGGGTTCCCCACTCCCGCCCCCGGTCCTGGCTCCGTCCACTCTGGCATCGCCCCGTGCTGTCTGCGGTGCTGGCTTACAGACACTCTCCAGTTCCCCAGCTTGAAGTTCATTCTTGGGAATTCATGTAAAACATTTACAAGTGTGAGCCCTAAGGATATCACTTTAAGGGGGAAAAAAGACACTCCTGGAAGCTTTGTTTCTGCTTCCAAGAATAATGCAAACGTCACAGGAATGTACAGTGTAGAAAGTGAGTGTCCTCTTACGCTCATCCCCGTAACACTTAATTTCATGCCTGTTCCCTGAACACTTGTTTTGGACATTGCCTCATCCTTTTTCACAACTGCGGGAGACCCCCCTGAATAGAGGCACTGTCGTTTGCTAGCCAGGCATTGAGGAGCCATCCGGGCGGTCCACAGTGCAGGCTGCGGTTACGTCCTTTTTCTAAGGATCTCTGCACGCCTGTCACGTGAGCCTTACCACAGGAGGAGGGAGCGTCCACTTCCTGGCCGTTGATCGTACTCCTTCCTGCTCCCTGTCCACTGCTGAACCGCACTTTGTGCATCGAGAAGGTGCAGCGGAGAAGAGAGGAGGTGGTTTGTGCTGTGACCGTAGGCTAAAGGGGTAGAGGACCAGCAGGCGTTAGCCCTCTCCTCTCGCACGTCACCACCTAGGGGATGCTCTGCGCTCAGCCATCAGGGGAGTGGAGCCACAAGCAGTCCCACGTTTGGAGGCCTTTGCACTGCACTGTTTCCACTTAGCTAGCTGCCTTCTGTCCGCACAGTTAGATCTTCAGCCCCACTGCATTGTTGCCTGGCCCACAACCCGGGAAGCAGTTGATTTTGTAAGATCCTAAACAGGTGAGGGGAGGGGGTCTGCAGCCAGCCGAGCCCCGACTGGTGACAAGGAGCAGGGCCTGAGGCTTGGCCCCAGGGGAGACTCGGAACATCGGGTGCATCCGCTTCCCTCCTGGCTGCTCCCACAGGGGCACAAGGACGAGGCAGGTGGCCACAGCAGGCCAGAGTCAACTGCTAGATATCAAACAGATTCAGGCTGTTCCACTGGACACCCACCTTTCTTGTGCTTTAGAAAGAGTCCCAGGGTTTCACTTTTACTGGGAGTTGCCAAAGGCCAGGTTCACAATGCTGACCCCCCCTTCCCCAACGGTGGGGCCTGGAGACGACCCCTCAGGTGGGAGAAGTGATCCTGTGCACGTCTGCCCTGCCTACTCACACTGTTTTTCCTCTTGTTCCCTCCCCTGCCTGCACCTCCTTGTTGACAGTATCAAAAAACAATGTTTTTATGCCATCCACCTTCTGCGAGCCATCTGCAGGCAATTCTGACTCAGAACCAGGTGAGCCCTCGCGTCCCTTTACCTTTCTCGGCTGGTCACTGGGGGTTTCCTGGGATGAAAAGCAAGGACTTAATCGGGAATGGGTGGTTTGAAGGCAACCTTCTTTTTCAGTTCCTAAATGTTCCCCAACTCTTCACTGCACAGATTTGGAATCTGGTGTGAGGCAGGCTTCATCAGCCCTTAATTTCTGTTTCTACAAGCAGGGCCTGGTTACAAGGAGTTGCAAGTCCTTTTTAAAAAAAAAAAAGAGAGAGAGACAAGCAAAAACAAAAAAAAATTGTAATGAAGTATACTACTCATTTTTCAAAAGTTTACACAAATAATACATTTGTATCATTAAAAACTCAGAAATACATAGAGTAAAAGAATCCACCTCTCCATTTCCCACGCACTCTGCCATCCCAATGGTAACCACTCTGAACTTTATGTAATTTTCCAGACCCCTTCTCTGCGTATTAAATTCTCACATGAATTAACATTACTTAGATCTGTTTAGATAAATATATTTGATCAGAGCCTTAAAATTTTAAGGAAAATAGCTTGATCCTTTCTGAAGAATGTGGAGCTTTCCTTTTTTGGTCTCTCACTAGAGATCCAACTCCAAGATTTCCTGAAAGTTTCTCCCACGTGGCTGAAACTCCTCGTAAAAGATTTAATGAGCGGGTGTAACCATCTTAATTCTGTAACCCAACCTGCCTTATATAAATTCATTGCCGACTTCAAAAGCGCTGCGAGATCAGTCAATACTCTGGCACGAGGGCACTGTCGAGGGAAGAGGCAAGTTGTTAGAACTTTGAGGGTTGATTTGATGACATTGTTTCAAACAGTTGAATTCATTTTGACTCTAAAGGCAAACTGTTTTGAGCTGACCCCCCTCACGGGGCCTGAAGAGGAGCTTGGTTTGTAGGGGTCCTTGGGAAGACCTGGGCACTGGCCTAGCGAGTCACGTTCTGAACCGCGGGGGCCGTGTCAGCCGTGGTGGGTGATCAGCCACTGAAGCCAGCCCTCGAGCTCTGTTAGGAATCTAATGCTCGCCCCCGAGGTCTCTGAGCGACAGCCCCACTCCCGCTTCTTCCCCGAAACCTTTATCCTGCAGCATTGAGAGCAGGGCAGCCCTGAGCAAGGCGGGCAACTCGGACCTGCCTCCGAGGCCTGCCACAGCCCGGCCGGCCCCTGGACCCGCTGCCACGTGCAGCGGTGATAGACTGGCTCAGCCACTCTGCAGAGTGAACTTATTCTTAGCTCCTTGCCTGCCTGCCTTTTTTTTTTTTTTTAGCTTTAATTTTTGCGGGAAAAATTGTAACACTTAAGAATGGTAAAGCACTTCTCTATCTCTCTACCTAGAGACCCCATTCGATTTTCCCGGGGCGTCCCAGTGATGTCCTTCATGGCAAAGGCATCAGATCCTGGCTCACGCATCACGTATCTGCAGCAGTCCCTCGAGCTTGCCTCGGCTTTTATAACCTTTCAGAGTGCAGGCCGGTTACATTGGAGAAGGCCTTCAACCTGGCTTTCCCGCTGTTTCCCGGTGACTGGACCAACTTACCCTTGGGGGCTAGAACACCACAGAGGTGAAGCTGTGTGCTTCCTGTGCACCGTAGCAGGTGACTCATGGTGTTTACTGTCCTGTTACTTGAATAGGGCGGAGCCCGCCCAGGTTCTCCGCTGAAAAGTCATTTTTCACCCTTTGATATTTTCTGGAGAGATACTTTGAGACTCTGGAAAATCTCATTCCTCTTCTTACTTTTTGCTGCAGTGTTAGCCTCCAGAGATGTTTTCTTGCTGGGAGCGGCTACTACTCTGGTGATGGCCGGCCGGGGATTTTCTGCCTCCTGTGGGTCGGCACTCTGCTGGACAGCAGACCTCTTCTCTGCCACTGCTTGCTCATGTGTTTACTAGAGCCACATGGTTGTTTGCATTCCTGTTTTAGTCAGTGGGTTATAATCTGTTGTTATTAGTGTTTACCTTAACATTCAGATTTTATCTTCACCATCAGTTTATTTTAATCATCCCACAGTTGGCTGCCGTGAGCTGCTGCGTCAAGCCTGTGCCCCTTGGCCATGTCCGCATCATTCTTTCGAGCATGTCCTTTTCTTTCTGTCATAAGGGGTTCCAGGCTCATCTTCTTCCCTCCCTTTCCTCAAGGGGATCCTGGTTCTGCTTAGTGGAGAGTGGTCTCTAGAGACCAAGATCTGAGTACTCTGCGTGCTGGTCGCCGTTGGGCTGTCGCTGCTCCCAAGCCCTCTCTGTGCCCAGAGCTGAGAACACACACAGCCAGGAGCACAGACATACGTAGACCTCTTCGCCTACACACACTCACATCTGCACGTGTTTCTGTGCCTCTGCTGTTCTGTCTGCTTGTATAGGTCACCCCCGGTTCGGGTGGGTGCTTCCAGCACCAACAGGGTTCATTGTAGCCCCACCTCCCCCCCTTCCCCCCCTTCGTATTTCTGCCTCTTTTCTGACAGTAAGAAACCTGACTCCCTTTGTCCTCAACACACTTACTCATCGCTCAAGCCCCCGCCAAGCTGCCTTCTCTCAGATTCTTTTTAGCCTGTGGTACACACCAGGTTAAATTCTGATCTGCCTTCCTGGTTAAATCCAGAGTTCCCTCATCACCTGGGTCTCTCTGAGGTGGGGCACAAAAAAGCCTGCTTGCTTCAGTCATGATTCAGAGGACGGAGGCTGCCCCACAGCAAGCTCACGGGGGGCCATGCATGTGCCCTTGAGAAGACACGGGTACAGCGGCCTGTGCACCCCTGTGACCTTGGCGTGACCTTGCACCCCCGTGATGGGCTCTGGCCATCAGGCAGTGCCTCTTCACTGCACCCTGACTGCGTTGCAGGACAAGTGAGCTTCTGGAGGCCATGAGAAGAGACCACGTTTGTTTCAGTGCAGACAGGGCTTGTGGCAGGACCTCCAGGGTGCGCCGCCCTGTAAGCACCCTCCCTGCTGCTCTGGGCCCCGCTGTCCCGAGTCCCCGGTTGCCATTGCGAGTATGGCACACGCGTCCGTCTGTGTCTCCATTCACCGCAGCATTCAGCATGGATGTCCTGTGTATCCTTGGGGTGGGCCAGGCACTGGGCCCAGTGCTCGGGGTCAGTGGCAGTGACTTTCCAGGCCTGTCGCCCCTGCTGGTTAGCCTGGTCAGCCCCGGGGGTCCAACGGTCAGAGCAGGGCGGTGAGAGCAGTCTCTAGCCCCAGTGTGAACACTGCAGAGCCAGCTCTAAGGGCTTTTTAAAATCACCTGAATTACGAATTTCATCGCAGTTTTTTTTTTTAATGTTTCTAAATTGCCAATCATCTCCTGAATAGTCCTGAGCTTTGAAATGTAATTCAGTATTTCCCTTCCCAAAAGGAACATCTGGCAGCATGTCCTCCCCTGCATCCTGTGCTGTCTGGCTCTCCTGAGTGTGGTGTTAACGACCCCTCTACGGGGGAGGCACCAGCTCCACCAGCGCAGGCTCCCCGGAGCCCGTCGGGGTCAGCTCCTTCATGCAAGCTAGCAGTGAGAGTTACTTATTGTAACCTGTTTTTGCCCAAGGAGAGCAGTTTGGCTCACCAACACATAGCCCGCAGGAAGAGGGCCTTCTTGTTTAGGAATTCTTTTGGGTTTTTTTTGTGGTTTTTTTGGCTGAGTTGGTTCTTCGTTGCTGCGTGCGGGCTTCCTCTAGTTGCAGTGAGGGGGGCTACTCTTCGTCGCGGTGCACGGGCTTCTCATTGCGGTGGCATCTCGTTGCGGGGCACGGGCTCTAGGTGCACGGGCTTCAGTAGTTTTGGCACGCGGGCTCAGTAGTTGTGGCTCGCGGGCTCTAGAGCGCGGGCTCAGTAGTTGTGATGCACGGGCTTAGTTGCTCCGTGGCATGTGGGATCTTCCCGGACCAGGGCTCAAACCTGTGTCCCCTGTATTGGCAGGCGGATTCTCAACCACTGCGCCACCAGGGAAGCCCCCTGTTTGGGAATTCTGATTTGATTTTGTTTCATACCTGAAAGTGTGGGCTGACCAGGTGTGTTTGTGGTGGTGTTTTTGTGAACAGTTGAAGGGTTTCTAGTGTATCTACAGAGTTGTGCACCCATCACCACAATTAATTTTAGAACATTTTTGTCACTCCAAAAAGAGACCCTATGCCCTTGAGCAGTCACTCCCCACTTTGTCTTTCCCAGCCCCTGGCAACCACAAATCGACTTTCTGTCTCCGTGGATTTGCCAGCTCTGGACATTTCATGTAAATGGAGTCATGCACTGTGTGGCCTTTTGGGGTATCTTTCCATTTATTTAAGTCTTTACTTTCTTCCAACAATGTTTTGTAGTTCTCGTTGGTTCAGTTTATTCCCAAGTATTATATTCTCTGTGGTGCTGTTGTAAATGGAATTGTTTTCTTCACTTTCGGATTGCTCGCTGCTGGTGTGTAAAAACACGCAAGGGATTTCTTTGTCTTGATCTTGTTCCCTATGACCCGAAAAGGGTTTTTTTCCCCCGTGGGCTGGACCTTAGCACAAAAGTGAGGCTGCCTCTGGGGCCCAAAATGCTGCTGTCCCTGGGCTCTTCTGGGGACAGACGTGTCCTATTGGAGTCACAAGGCTTTTTATCCTGATCCTTCTGGTCAGGGAATGCATTAGACTGTCTCCCCCGCCCCCTGCGATGGGCAGAGTCACCAAGGTGCAGGGATTAAGGGATCTGTGTGTACTGGTGGCTGAGCTGAAACCCGGCTTTGAGCCCCTGTGTCTGTCAGCTCTGCATAGTCCATCCCAGACTTCGTCCTGAGGGAGGCTCCGCCTCCTCCTCCTGGGCCTCCCAGCGCCCTCATTAGCCGCAAGCACTCCGGGCACATCTGGAGAGAGCCTGCCGCTTGCCACCTTTGATCTTTCACCACAGAAAATGCATCTCAGTTCTCAGAGGTCTGCTGGTAGTAGGGAAGCTTCTCCTGATTACAGATGTGTCCCCCTGGAAAGGGAGCTGGGTCCCAGGGACCAGAACTCTGTGGCTCCCTGATATTCCTTGGGGCCCGCGAGCACAGCTCAGCCTCCGAGCTCTCAGCCCCAGCAGGTAGCTGGGTGGGTGGACTGCAGCTTGACCAGCCCCACACACGCCCTCCAGTTTTCTGTTGCCAGCAGTTCACCCCAGGGCCAGCACTGCCTGCAGCCCTCAGCCTCCTCCCTTACAGACGGGATTGGATGGGCCTCTGCTCTTCTGTTTTAACTTGGAAACATTTTCCCTAGTTCCCCAGGCCCATGGCCACCGAAGCCCAGACCACAGTCCTCTTCTGCCCCTGGTCCCTCCTAGCTTTGCTGCCCCACCCCAGGCAGGCCCGCTTTTTATTTTTTCTCTTATGCTTGTAGAGGAAAAGAGCAGTGGATTCCGGTTGAAGCCGCCGACCCTGATCCACGGCCAGGCACCCAGTGCAGGTGGGTGTCCGCCTTGAAGGAGGAGCACAGAGTGGCTGCCTTGCGGCCTCTGCGTGCCAGTGCGGTCCGGGCTCACTTTTCTGACACGTGAGCACTGGAACACCGCTGGAAAGAGCCCGTCAGACCAGGGAGGTTCTCCTGCCTGTGAGCCCGCTGTCCCGAGGAGGTGGCGGCAAGAGAGCGGGCCCGGCTTTGTGGGTGGCGTTCAGGCTCCGTGCCCGGCAGTAGCTCAGTTGTGAGACTGTCTCTGCTGAGCGATCTGCCCACAGCGTTAACCCTGAGTAGCAGAGCAGCCGCTAGTGAGCGGGGCCCGGCACTCGCGCCATCGAGACACGTCCCATCCAACGGGAAGCCCTTGCAGGGCCAGGAGCGTTCTCGTGGTCCTTGCCCTGTATGTTTGGCAGAGGGATTTTCTCAACGTGGCATTTTGAGAAGCAGGTGCAAGGGGTGCCTTTACGTGACCCCTAGCAGAGTCCTAAACTTTGAGAGGTGAACTGTGGCTTCGCTGCTTTCCCCTCACCGTCTGCCCTTGACCCTCGAGCCCCACGCTTGAGAACAGCTGTCTCTTGGTCCCCCCCTGTAGCATTCCTGTACTCACTGGATTAATTTGCAGACATCAGTTTCATGGGGGTTTCATTTAATCACATATAAAAATAACAATAGCCAGACTTTGTATGTCTAACTGTAGAGAAAATATCTTGGGTTTTTAATTTTTTCAGTATGCTTTCCTGTAAAGTCTAGCCCAGGAGGGACATCAGATGCGTTGCTGGGGTGAATTTTTCTGTAAAGTGCCTGAGAGCCGGCGTGGGGGGGGGGGGCGGGGTATGCATTTCTGCCCTTGCGGTCGGAGGGCCCGGGCAAACCGACCTCTGTCCCCAGGTCTGCCGAGCCAGAAGCCCAAGGAGCAGCAGCGGAGCGTGCTTCGCCCAGCAGTGCTACAAGCCCCGCAGCCAAAGGTGCTCTCACAGACCGGTGAGTGACTCGGCCGTGGCCCCTCCCAGGCTCACACGTCAGGGCACAGCCGCGTCACGACACAGGTGGCTTTGGCCCCGTCTGCTGAACGCACTGGGAAATAGAGTGCTGGAGAAACAAGCCCTCAAACCCCCAATGAGCCTGGAAGACAGGCAGTTCCACTGGCCTCCTGAGAGCTGGCCCCCCAACCCTGAGCGGCCCAGATGCGCCCCTGTGTGTTTGCAGGCAAAACTCAGTCCTGTGTCTCTAAGAGACCTGAACCATATTTGTATTATATCCACAAAGGATGGGATTTTCAGTTCATCCTTAATTTTCTTAATACTGATAAACTTTTCTTCTCTTCCTCTTAATCTTTCCCTACAATTCAAGAGCTCTTCATCGGGAGCAAAAATAGTTAATATTTCTGAAGGGTTTTAATTGCATGGAAAATTGTTTTGGTCTAATACTAAACAAAGCCAGATTTAAAGTTGTACATGTCACATAATCTCAACTGTTTAAAGGAGAAAGTGCATAGAAAAAAGACTCTATTAGTAAAACTAGTTTTATAAAACTCATAATTATTCCCCAAATATATTTTCTTTTTTTTTTTTTTTCGCCTAAGTAGTAGTATTTCTAAATAAACTGAAAATTCACATGGTTCTTTGTGGAATAAGCAATAAAGGATTCTTTCTTTTGTGAGGTGTTAGTTTGGGGTTTGGGTTTTTCTAACCTAAGAATTTGTGACTTTCAGTATTGATTCCGGATCCGTTCCTTATTTAAGAAGGAGACGTTACACTGTCAGCCCAAGTGGTAGAAGGCAGCGGTGCTGAAGGTGGTCCGGGCTGACCTCTGAGATGTCTGCTGTCCTTTTCTCCCCACAGTCCCGAGCAGCGGCACCAACGGGGTCAGTGTCCCGGCAGACTGCCCAGGGGCAGCGACATCGGCTTCGCCTGACAACCCCGCCCGGAGGAGTCCCTCTGACGAGGCGCCAGCACTTGAGGTCCGTCGGCAATGGGGCAGGGAGTGCACCGCACGTGAAGCTTCTCAGCGCCTCACCGGGTGCATGGGCTGTTGACCACTCTGGGCCGTATCCAACCTGGCCCGTGCTAAAGCATCCTGATTTGCTCAGAGGTCTCCATGTGTAACCACAACTGACTGGCCAGGTCACCAGCCCACCAAGAACTCCACAGTTGGTTTTGAGTGAAAGGGGCCACGAGCAGGGCTCTGGCACTTAGGGCCGGATAGCCCAAGGCCTGTTTCGTTTCCACGCACGTAGTCTGTTGGGGCCTTGTACCGCTGTACTTGGAGAGATGTCTCCCGTTCTTCTTCCACAGCCGAGCAGTTCCTCAGGGGTTCATACACATGTGCTGCTTCTAGTGGCAGAAGTGTGCTTGGGAGTCCGCTCAGAAATCGTTTGTTTTATTTATTTATTTTTATTTTTATATATTTATGTATTTTTGGCTGCGTTGGGTCTTTGTTGCTGTGCGCAGGCTTTCTTTTTAGTTGCAGCAAGCGGGGGCTACTCTTCGTTGCGTGGGCCTCTCATTGCGGTGGCTTCTCGTTACAGAGCATGGGCTCTAGGCGTGCAGACTTCAGTAGCTGTGGCACGTGGGCTCAGTAGTTGTGGCTCGTGGGCTCTAGAGCGCAGGCTCAGTAGTTGTGGCACACGGGCTTAGTTGCTCCGTGGCATGTGGGAATCTTCCCAGACCAGGGCTCGAACCCATGTCCCCTGCATTGGCAGGCGGATTCTCAACCACTGCGCCACCAGGGAAGCCCAGAAATCGTTTGTTTTTTTAAAAAAAAAGTCCTCCAGGGTTCTGGGATTATATAGGCCAGATGCATATGTTTTCCAGTTAGCGTTGCATAGCAGCTGAAAATAAGGGGCATTTAATGAAGAGCCTGCATTTGCGGTTGGCAGAGACGGACTTGAAATCCGAGTTGCAGCAACACATCCAGGGCTCCACGTACAGAGACAGATTGCACCCGTGTGTTTATCTCCACTCTGCCCGTTTCAACAGACAGGTCGCTGCCTGAGGTTCTCCACCCTCTGCCTCCCCCACCCGCTGCCATACCGCCGCCGGATGTTCAGGCTCAAATGGTGAAAATGAACATCTCCAATTCAATCTTCAGATGTCCCTGAGCCCCCCACCCTGAAACCACAGTTAGTGGAATTGGAAAAAGAAATCATTCCCACAGCATACTGCTTCTCAGAAACTGGTGGCTAGGGCTCTGAGCTGGAGGGAGACCTGGACGTGACCCCCCACCCCACCGTCTCCACCCAGTGTTCCCGGTGACGAGGGCACTGCCAAGACCTCGCCCCTCCCCCTCCCTGGAGAGGTCTGGTCCCCCCCAGCCCTAGGGCGTCTCCCTGGTCCCCCACCCCAGGGCCCGCTCCACAGGATTCACGCCAGGCAAATGCAGTGGTGTGAGATGGCTCATCTCGCTTCTCAGGGCTGATGTGTTGCTTCTTTTCAGTTGTTCTGTTTGCTTGTTTTAACCAGGAGAAAGACTCGCAGAAAAATGAGTCTAGCAGTGCTTCTGAGGAGAGCTGCGAGAAGAAGGAGCAGCTTGCACAGCAGGCGTTTGTGTTCGGGCAGAACCTGAGGGACAGAGTTAAGGTATGTGGTCAGAAGGCCAGATGAGCTGTTGACCCAGTGAAGGGATCTTTTTATGCCTCCCCCAGGTTCCTTTGCCCGGGGATGGGGAGTGGGGGCCGTGTCTGGGGTGGTCCTGGGCCTCAGCGCCCAGCAGCTGCTTGCTGCGCCCCTTCCGTGCTGTGCTGCTGACTCCTGGCAGCACCCCGGCCGGCTGCCCCCCACCCTGCCCCACCCCTGCCAGTGTGGGGCTGAGCGGTGGCTCCTGGCGGCAGGCTCCCTCGCTCTTCCAGGAGCCAGGCTCAGAGAGGCAACTTAGCCCTGACAGCTGACGTGTTTATAGCCAAGGAACAAGCAGACAGTAGGATCCGATGCTTTCCAGGTCGCCAAAGAGATTTTTATGTGCTTACTTCAGGGTTTCTTTCAGCACTAGCATCGTTCAGCCCGGATCCTTCTTAGTTGTGGAAGGCCGTCCTGCGCACTGTAGGGTGTTGAGCAGCATCCCCGGCCCCCGCCCTCTAGATGCCAGCAGCACCCCCTCTCCCCGCCCCCAGTGATGACCACCAAAAGCATCCCCAACGGTTCTGAATGTTCCCCGTGGGACCATGTCACCCCCAATTGAGAGCCATCGCCTTGTTTTTTTCAAGGAGGGCAGGTGGAAAGATACTGTTTTCTCTCCCACAGGAGGCAACAGGATCTGTCACCTCCTGGCTGCCCCCCAGGTGTGTTGGTCTAGTCTGGGGACTTTGAGTCGGGGATGGGGAGCATGTGGCAGTGGCAGGGGATCTGGGTTCTGGACCCCACGCTCTGGCCCTCTCGGAAGACCTGTCCCAGCCCCAGGGACTGAAGGTCCCTCTGTGCCATTTCCAGCAGCTTATCTGGCAAGAAGCTCCTAGAGGCTTGAGGGGCAGTGTCAGTGGCTGTGTCTGGGGACATTTGTCATTGCCACAGCTGGGGGGTAGGTGCCACTGATACTAAGTAGGTGGAGGCCAGAGATGCTGACCAACACCCCACAGTGCCCAGGAAGCCCCCGTCCCCGCTCAGGGAACCACCCGCGCCTGGGGTCAGTAATGCAAAAGGTGAGAAGCCCTGAAACGAGAAAACAAGAGTCTCTCGGGTGTGGAGGAGATGTCAAGCCACGCCGTCAGCTTCCTCCTTTGGTGCCCACTGTCCAGTAGAAGCACAGATACCCCAAGAGACACAAGAATAGGTGTTGATGTTGCACAGCTTTAGGCAAAATAATGAGTCCCTTGGCAGCTGCTCCCTCCCGGGAGCAGGAAGCAAAAGCAGGGAGGACCTGGAAATCCACCCATGCTGGGGACCGGGGCCCTGGCCTGAGCCATCAGGTCGAATCTGTTCCTCGCTGCCTTGAGATTGGGGTGGGGGCGATGTCTCGTGGGGATCCGGGCGTCTCATGGTTGCATCCCAGCTTCTCAATGGGGGGAGGCGACTCAAAGCCGTGGTTTCTTAACCCCTCTGAGCCTCTGCTTCCTCACTCAGGGCAAGGTCGCTAACACCCACTTCTCAGCGTTCCCAGGAGAGTTTCATCGGAGAATGTATTTAACCAGGCTAGTGTGGCAGTTGGCGTAGAAGCAGCCTTGAGAAATGATGCTTCTGTTTTGTTTATAATGAACCCCTTAAAATGTAAGATTTGTAAGCGACCTGTGATTCCTCGGTGCAGAAGCATTGATAAAAATGCCAACAAGGTGCCAGCCTGAGTGTGCTTTTTTAAAACAAGGTAGAAAAGGCTCCCTAGTGCCTTATGGACTGTTTTTGTATCTTAACTCTTACCACACCCCAGGGTACACACATGTAGACGGAGCCATGCCGCATGTCAGCGTAGGGCCCGTGGAGGCAGGCTGAGCTGCAGAGGTCCAGGACGTGCCGTTCTCTGAGCAGTGTTTCCTCTCTGTTTCCCAGTTAATAAATGAGAACGCTGAAGTAGTGGACATGGAGAACGCCGGACACCCCAGTTCAGAAGCACCAGCCGCCACCAACTACTTCCTTCAGTACATCAGCTCCAGGTCTGCGCCTCGGGCCTGGTGCCCAGCCTTGTACGGGGAGAGCCTCCACCTCGGGCCCGTGGTCACCCATGGTACCTGCCTCAGGGCCCAGAGAAGCCTGGACCCTCCTGCACCAGGAGCCAGCCCAGTCCTTCCTCGGGAGGGCAAGGGCACGTGCAGCCAGAATCCCAGTCACCCTGCAGCCCCTCCCTCTTTTCCGCTCTGGACACAGATGTGGAGGGGCTGGGATGGTGGGCTTCAGCAGACATCTGAGGCAGGACCCCAGTCCCGTGGGCTTGTTCAGCCCAGCCCCGGGAGTGACCTCTGTCACCCGGGCCTCGTGCCCAGAACAGAACCCGGTGGGCCAGTGACAGCTCGGCTGTCTCCTGTCACCAGGTGCTCCCTGCCCTGGACCTGGGCTCGCCGTTGGCGCTACTGGTGGTGGCACTTGCCAACAGCCTGGCTGCCGGGGTGTTTGAGAAGGAAGGCTCGTCCCTGCCTGGGAGATGGGCCAGCAGAGCAGGCGCCGTGCGGGCTCCCACCTCGGAGAGGCCCGAGGGGAACAGTGACCTCGCTGCTTGGCTGCCTGGCCCCCGGTTAGCAGAGTGCATCAGATATTTTAAGACGCATTTTTTGCACCTGAGTGTTTCCCAAATTGGGAGGCACGTGCAGCCTGTGATGTCTTAAACCGTCTGAAGTGTGACCGCCAGGGCAGCTGCCGTTTGCTGAGCGCTCCCCGAAGGTCATCCCGTGTCACCTGCCGGCCACCCCATAGGAGGCATCACCTCCTTGGTGCAGGCCTGGGGAGGGACCCAGAGAGCTGCAGTGCCTCCCGGGGGCAGCCCACTGGCAAGAGACAGCCGGGTTTGTCTGCTGGGAGTGGACGGAACGCCCCTGCGCTCAGCCTCTGTGCGGTGCTGCCCACCTCCTGGGGGTTGGGGAAGACGGGCATCTGGTGTGTCACACGGCGCCCGTGTGCAGTTGGTGCCAGGCGGTGCGAGCCAAGGGTCTGTGTTTGCCGCCTGGAGAGGCCTGGCATGGAGGCCTGCGGGTACCTGTCCCTGGCACGCCAGCCCAGCCCGAGGCGGAGCGGGGCCTCGACCGTGCTTTCCGCTCTGACCGTGTGTGTGCGCCACGCATGTGGGCGTGCACACCGCCTGGCCCTGTGCCACCCTGCGCTCACAGCGTGTCTCCTCTTCAGTTTAGAGAGCTCAGCCAACAGTGCCGACGCCGCCAGCAGCAAATTCATATTTGGCCAGAACATGAGTGAGCGCGTGTTGGTGAGTGACCCCCGTGGGGACTGTCCTTCCCGGGGCCCGGAAGGCTCTCGGAGCCTCCCGCAGGTCACCGGGACACGTCGGGTGTGGCTGCTGCCTTGAGTCCTGTGAAATTAGAATGCTTTCTTTTCCAAGTAAGACAAAGGAGACCCAGCTCAGACTCAGCTTAAACGGGGGGCGGCGCTGGTGGCCTAGGGAGGCTCTGTAGGAGCCAGTGTCGCGCATCCTGTCCTTCCTCATCCTGAGAGGGGCTTCCCTTGAGTCACGGGCCGCGCTTCCTCCCAGCTAAGGGCAGGTGCGGTGACAGCCGTCAGGCCAGACTCCTTAGCCATGTGGGCCGGGACCACCCTGTGCCGCCTCTGAAGCCAAGGGAGGGCAGCCCCATCGCCACCGTGAGGCTGGGGGGCGAGGGGCAACCCCGCAGGGTCTCCAGTGTCCCCTGCACTCCTGACACACCACGGCCGAGGCACGTGGCTGACCGCGGGCCACATCCTGGTCCCAGAGAGCCCAGCCAACCCGGGATGGGCTTCTAGCGTTGTTACCTGCTTCCTTCTCTTTCTTCCTTTTCTTTCCCAATCATTACACACAGCCCCGCTGTGTCCACTGTGAGGGCAGCTCAGGCGCTGTTTGGGGCCCACCTGATTCCTGCCGTCTTGGTCTCAGTGTTTGTTTCACTAAGGAGCCACCTGCTTCTTTTCTTGAGCGTCAGTACTGTCCTTTTTCGATTACGATGAAGTAGGCAAAGAACTGCTTCAAGGGCCAGGGGGACCAGGTGGCCCAGGGTCGGCTGGTGGCACACGCCTCCAGGTGACGCCACAGAGGCTCCAGAGGCGGCTTGCGTGCGCGTCCGGGCGGGCCTGTGAGGACTGAGGACCGCCTGTCTCTGATGCTGCTCGGCAGGCGCTGAGTGGGCATGGGCTGGGGCTGGGCAGGTCCCCAGAGTGCGGGAGGGAGGCCAGCGTCGGCAGAGGGGGGTCCTCTGCTGGGCGGGGGGCGCCAGGAGCTGCCTCCCGGCAGAGGGGTTCCCTGTCCTGCAGCGGTCGGCCCCCGGGACCACCCCCCCCCACGCCCCCTCCTCCTGTGCGCCTTCGCTCCCCGCAGAGCCCACCCAAGTTAAACGAGGTCAGCCCGGATGCCAACAGAGAAAACACAGTGGCCGAGTCCGGGTCCGAGTCCTCGTCCCAGGAGGCCACCCCCGAGAAAGGTAGGCCTCGGTCCTGCCCTCTCCCGGGGGCGTCCGGGAGGCAGGGAGGGGCGGGGACGCTGTGAACCACCCTTGGGCACAGCCCACAGCCGTGCGTGCTGGGGTCCAGTGAGCAGGAGGGGGGCGAGGCCCGGGGCCCTGCCTGGTGACCAGGATGGGGTTGAGGTGGTTGTCGCCCTCCTCCTCGCCCTGAGGCGGCAGACACTTCTCAGCGCCCTCGGAGGTCTCTCGCTGTCTGCCGTCCTCGCCTGAGTGGGAGAGTGGGAGGCCGCAGCTGCACTGGCCGCTCCCGGTGGCCGCCCTGCAGACTCCGAGGCAGAGTTACGTGGTGCGTTGCCAGGGTCCGCTGTGGGCCCGAGGCGCTGGCCCCCTTGAGGCCAGAGCCACCCTTTGGGTGTCCTGTGAGGTACACCCTCCCCCTGACCAAATCAATAGTCAATGTCGTTTAGCTAATAACATTGCAGAGTCACTGGCCGAGTCGGCGGCCGCCTACACCAAGGCGACGGCGCGGAAGTGCTTGCTGGAGAAGGTGGAGGTGATCACCGGGGAGGAGGCCGAGAGCAACGTGCTGCAGGTGAGGCGCGCCCGGCCTCGGGGACCCGTTGGTGCGGCTAGCGGACTTCTTGTACTGCTCTGTTTTAGAGCAAAACGGTCTGTTCTGAGACAGTCTCGATAATTCAGGGAACTACAAAGATGTGTAACAAACACCTCTTGCCACCCAGAGTCAACAGCTGTGATTATTTTGTCCCGGTGGTGCTGTGTTCTTTTCTTAGACCAGACTTCATGGCACCCGTGCCCCGTCCCATCTCCCTCCCCTCCTGGGGCAGCACGTCCAGTGTGGTGGGGCTCCATCTGCCCTTCGTCCTTTCACACATACCTGCGTGTGTGTCTATAAACCACGTATATGTGGCTTTGGGGAGTTTTTAATGTGGGGTTTTTAGTGGTACTTTTTTCCCCCACTCAGTTTTTCTTATCTATCCATCTTGAGAGATATTGACTTACAGAGATCTGCAAGCTTTTTCTGTAAAGGGCCATGTGTGGTCTCTCTTGCATTTTTTTTTTGTATAACAACTTTATTGAGGTACAGTGCACATACTATGAAATTCACCCTTTTAAAGCGTACGGTACAGTGGTTTTTACTGTATTCACTAATTTAGAACATTTTTGCCCCCCCAAAAAGAAGCCTTGTGCCCATGAGCAGTCACTGCCCATCCCCCTTCCTGCAGCCCCAGGCAACCCCACTTTCTGTTTCCGTGGATTTGCCTGTTGTGGACATTTCACGTGAATGGGATCGTACAACATGTGGCCTTTTGTGTCCACATTTTCGAGGTTCATCGCTGGTGGACCATGTGTCGGCGCTTCACTCCTCTTCAAGGCTGAGTAACAGTCCACTGTATTGATAGCCCACATTTGTTTATCCAGTCACTTGCTGGTGGGCGCTTGGTTTGTTTCCACTTCTGAGGTATTAAGAATGATGCTCTGTGAACATTCACGTAATAGTTTCTGTGTGAACACGTGCTTCACTTCTCGTGGGTAGATACCTAGGAGTGGAATTTCTGGGCCATATGATAACTCCACGTTTAATGTGTTGGAGAACAGTTTTCCACTGTGGCTGCCCCATTTTCCATCCCCATTAGCAAGGTGTGAGGGTTCTGATTTCTCCACATCCTCCAATACCTGTTGTCATCTGTCCTTTTGGTTATTACCATCCTAGTGGGTGTGAAGTGGTATCTCATTGTGGTTTTGATGTGCATTTCCTTAACGATTATTTTTTTTTAATACTCCTCTCAAGATGTAAAATCCATTCTAGTTCGAGGGCAGGACAGAAAAGTGGCCATGGGCCAGACGTGTCCCCCAGACCATAGTTCGTTGACCCTGCTGGTTCATCGCGGGTTCCCTGCAGGCTCCCGGGGTCTGTCTGCCGGCCAGGGTCCCTGCTCACCCAGAGGGCCACCTTGTGTTCCAGATCCAGTGTAAGCTGTTTGTCTTTGACAAGACCTCGCAGTCGTGGGTGGAGAGAGGCCGGGGGCTGCTCAGACTCAACGACATGGCATCGACAGACGATGGGACGTTGCAGTCCCGACTAGGTGAGCTTCGGCCAGGTTTCTGTGGAGGAGCCTGGGGCGCGGCGGGGCGGGACTCCCTATCTGCACCCACAGCCGGCCCTCAGCCTGCGGGACCCGGCCTGGCCCAGAGGCTTCAGCCGCCAGCCCTTCTGTGATGTTCCTCTTCCTGATCGTGAAAGTGGATGAAAGGATTTAGCCATTTTCAAACGTATTTTCTTATAAAGTGTCAGTTGTTTCGTGGTGAGTAAACAAAGAAGTCAAACATCAACGAAAATCTCTTTATAAAAAGAGGGAAATCTCTGTCTGCCAAGAATGTTTTGGCGGTCCATTCCTGTTCTGTGGATCTTTGTTAAGGAAGTGGGGTGACTTTGTCTCTCGCTCTTTTCACTTGCCGTTTTGTGGGCGTGTTCCTGTGTTGTTAAATTTTCCCTAAAATATGACTGTTTGTGAAAAGCCTCTGTATGAATTAACATTCTATCGGCCGTGAGTGTATTCAGCCATTTCCCTGCTGATGGACGTGTAGGTTGTTCCTAATTGTTTTTGACTTGTAAGTAATGCTACTGGGGCCATCTACACGTGAATCTTATTCCCGGAAGTACGCTTGTTACAGAACGGATGTGTGTGCGGGCATGTTTGTATATATGTGAAACGTGTGTGTTCATTTTTTTGTTTGTTTTGTTCTGTTTTTTTAATCCTCCCCAGTTAAAATTGTCCTGTGGCCTTTACAGAAACGTCCATTCCTGGCCCAGGCGTAGCTCATGCTGCGTCTTTTCGGCACTGTTTTTATGCACTTGGGCTTCTGTTCAGGCACTGTTCTTTTTCATTTTCCCTAATGGAAACGTGCAAGTGTATCTGGACAGAGAGGGCGCAGGATTTTGAGCCCCCGCGGCTCGTGGCTCTGCCCCTGGGTCATCAGCCTGTGACCAGCCTCGTTGTAACTGCACTGTCCCCTCCCTTGTTGAGATCCTTCCCGGCCGTCGTCTCCTTTCACCCCACGCAGCCTTTGATCCTTGGCATTGACCTTCCTTCCCTCCAAGTCCACCTCGGGGGGCGGGTTGGGCTGTGAGGCCGGGCCCAGAGGGCTGGCGGGGGTGAGGGTCACCAGATTGGGGTGACCGCTTGTAATCTGCTCCGGGTTTTCCAGTGGGGAGGGCCGGGCCGGCAGGAAGGCCAGGGCTCACCTGTGTCCATGGGGTTGGGGCTCGGGCAGGGGGGGTAGGCTCGGACAAATTGAGCAGGACGACATTGGCCTTGGGCCCGCTGTGGGTGGAACTCGTGGTCTCACACACATTTCCAGAGAGGGGAGGCCTGCCCCCTGTTCTTCTCCACTGTGTGCTCCCCTCAGTCTACCTTTGTCTCCCTCCTGATGGAGGCTCTGAGCAGCGGTCAGCCCCGACCCTTCCTCTAAGCAGTTAGCTCCTTTTCATGGGGCAGGAGCTGCGCCTTGGCCTGTGGGTGGCGACAGTCAGGGGGCGTAGACTTCGTGTGGCTTGTCCCCAGTGTGCAGACCCACCTCCGCCTCCTGCTGCTGCCTGTCCAGCCCCTTCCCCAGGGGAGCCGCCACCCTGGCACCAGCTCCACCCACTGGATGTGCCGCCAGGGGTGGGGGGTTGCCAGGGCTGCCGCTCAGCAGACAGGAGGCTTTCGTGGACCTTGGGGGGATTGTGGGATTTCACCCTGGGGGTGTTGGCTTTCCTGCAGATTGTGTCTGTTCTCGTAGCGGCTTCGTCGAGGGGTGGGGGGCAGAGCTGATGGCCTCGTTGGTTGCAGTGATGCGGACCCAGGGCAGCCTGCGGCTGATCCTCAACACCAAGCTGTGGGCCCAGATGCAGATGGACAAGGCCAGTGAGAAGAGCATCCGCATCACAGCCATGGACACGGAGGACCAGGGCGTGAAGGTCTTCCTGATCTCGGTGAGCAGCCCCAGGAACGGGCTGGGCTGCCCCCGGCCTCTCGGGGAACAAAGCTGTCCAAACAGCCCCCGGACAAGGGCAGGGCAGCCCCATGCCTAGCACTCAGAGCCCTGCACTGAGGGCCTGGCCGGGGCGAGTAGGAGGCCTCCAGGGTCGGGATGGCTCACCGAAGGCTGGCCCGGCCCGGGCTCTGTGGACCCCTCGGGAGGACAGGCCCTGGGCCTGGGGGAGCTTCGGTCTGCTGTCCCCGGGTTTGTCGAGGAGAGAGGTCAGGCTCCTCCCCAGTCCAGCCCGGGAGCTGGGACATCCCGTTACGGCAGGGGCTGCGGCCACGTCACCTGAGGAGGGGTCTCCCCGTGAGGCCTTGTAACCTGGCCCTCCCCTCTGCCTCCGCCAGGCCAGCTCCAAGGACACGGGCCAGCTGTATGCGGCCCTGCACCACCGCATCCTGGCCCTGCGCAGCCACGTGGAGCAGGAGCAGGAGGCCAGGACGCCGGCCCCCGAGCCCGGGGCGGCCCCGTCCAACGAGGACGACAGCGACGACGACGACGTCCTGGCCCCGTCGGGGGCCACCGGAGGCGGTGAGCCAGGGGTCCTGGGGCTGACCCGAGGGGTGGGGCTATGTCCAGGGCAGACACCTGACGGCCAGGCCACCGCTCCCCACAGGCGCTGGCGACGAAGGGGACGGGCAGACGGCCGGGAGCACATAGCGCCGGGAGCCGGCTGCCCACGAGCCTGCTGCTTTGTCCGTCTGTCTGCCCGCCCGCCCGCCCCTCCCTCCGGCAGCGTCGAGGCGCGGGGCTCGGGAACCACACTCCCCGCTGGGTGGCCACAGTCTGGATCCGCACGTCCCGTTCAGAAGCAGACTCGGGAACTGCCTGAATGTGGTTTGGGACACGAACCTCATCATATTGATGAGCAAAACGAAAAAGAACATTTCTTCCCTCCCCACCTTGAATTGAAATGGCACATTAAGACTTGTCACGGCTTCTCACTGGGACTGGGACCCCTCGTTTCTTCACCCCACCCTCGTCGTGTCGCCAGCTCTCCCCACCTCCACCTGCCCGGGCACCGGGTCTGTCCACACAGTGTCACGCTGGGCCTGCTGGACCTTCTGTTACTACTGTCTTTACCTCCCAGCTCCCACGTTCTGATTTGGGGGGTTTATTTTTAGACCTTTTCTTTCCCCCCCAAGGCTTTGTGTTTGGTTTCCTAAATCGAGGCGCTTCTCTCCTGTGTGTTGAGCAGGCACGGCTCCGTCGTGGGCTGCGTCCTCGTTCCCCCTGTGGCCCCCGGCCCCCGTGCTGGGGGTGCTCCCCACCTGGGGTTCCTCCAGGCCAAGTCGTGGGGTGCGGAGGGGTTGGGCCCTGGGCCTGGAGAGCCTATCTAGAAAAGGGTCACTGGGCGTGGGAGGGCGTGGGAGGGCTTCCCCCCCCATCCTCCTGTCTGTCCCCATAACATGGGTCACCCGTCATCAGGCACCCAGGTGCAAACCTGCTTCCTGCTGTTGGCCGTTCCTTCCTTGCCCAGCCCTGGACATCTCTGCCCCCAAGACCGTTGAGGGCTGGGGGCCTCTGTGAGAGGCAGAGGGGGACCCTGGCAGGGCCTTCAAGGAGGGGGCAGCGAGCAGACCGGTTCCAGACAACGGGCAGAACCCATGCTCGCAGCACACACAGGAGCGGCGCCCTCTGCCCGCCCCACCCCGTAGCGTGGCCAAGAGCCAGCTGGGTGCCGCCCACCTGGCGGGGCCCGCAGAGGAGGCCTCTGTGCACAGGGCCCTCACAGGGTGAGGGGGAGGCCCGTCTGAGCTGTGCCGCCCACACCTCAGGGTGGCCTGTGCAGCCCGCATCTGCGTCCGCGCCTGAGCCACGGGACGACACCAAAGGCCCTCCCAGCAGATCCGGTCACACTTCTCTGCTTTAAGCCTTAGCCAACTAGTGACAAGTAAAACCAGATAACGCCCATGTGTTTTGGAACATTTATGTAAGATTGTCATATGAAATGTATTTGGGAACTACATTAAAACTTTTAACTAAAACTCTGGTCTCCCACGTGCCCCAGGGGCCTCAGGAAGCCAGGCAACCTGGCCAGGAACGGTTCCTCAGCAGCCTGGCGTGCCCCGCACTCCACACCTGGGCAGGTGACCAAGCTCGGCTGCCTTCCAAGACTGACCGCTCCGTGCAGAGCCTTGCTTCACAGAAGAGCAGTTTGCTTCCCCACCCGGGCGCTGCCTGGCTTCCTGGGGGAGTCACGAGGGAGGGGTGAGGGTGCTGACAGGGTTCACTTGAGCAGAGCCAGGAGGAGACCTGGGGTCGGCATGGCGTGGGCATGGAGGGTCTCACTCCCTGGGCTCCTGAACCAGTGACCCATCGTTGGAACCTTTGTCCCACTGACACCTGGTGGCCAAGCCGTGTCCCTGGAGACCTGGTCCAGCCGGTTCTGCGGCCTCAATCTTCCCACAATCCCCTCCATCCCCCACCCCGGGGCTGCTCAGCTCAAAGCCCAGGTGAGAAGGGGCCCTGGCCCAGGGGTGCCGGGTGGGGCCCTACGCTGCATGGTGCCAGCCGAGTGGGTGTGCACCGCTCACAGCCGCCAGGCGCTGGTCATCATGGCCACAAACTCCTCATCCGTGTCCACAGAGGCGCTCACGCCACTGTAGTAGTCCTGGAACTCGGCCAGCGTGACCTGGAGGCAGATGGGCTGTCAGGGGGGACCGCAGGCGTGGGCAGAGGGAGTGGGGTACCCGCGCACCCACCTGCCCGTCCTTCTCGGAGGAGTCAAAGTTGTCCAGGAAGCGGCGGAGCACCTCCTCCTCTGTCCACTCCCCGCTCCGCACCCTGGGGTGGGCGCGGCCGCTGTACACCCCCCGGAGGTCATCCACAGTCACCACGCCGTCCCCGCTGCGGTCCAGCTTGGCGAACGCGGCTGTGATGACTGCCTCCCGGACCTGGGACATGGGGGGCTGGGGGGAGGTGGTGACTGGGGGGGGGGTGGAGCTCGGGAGGTCCCCCAAGTCCCCACACCGATGTGGATAAGCCCACAAGGACTTGGCACCCCCGGACGACAGGGTGGAGGGACTCGCGTGCGGTCGAGCGCCCGGCCTCACCCGCAGTGCCCGCAGGAACTCCTCCAGGTCCAGCGTCCCACTGCCGTCACGGTCCCAGCGCCTGCACACGCCCTGTGCCTCGGCTGTGTCCAGCACCAGCCCCAGCTCGGCCAGGCCCCGCTGGAGCTCCCCTGCGTCCAGGGACCGGCTCCTGTCCCGGTCCATGCGGCGGAAAAACCTGGGGGGCAGGGGGCGTGGTTGGAAAGTGATCCGGGGGGTTGGGGAGGTGTGAAGGGACAGCTCACCTGGCCAGACCCTGGATGCCCGAGGCCCCTCGGGACAGGCACTGGGCCCGGAGCTTCTCCATGGTGGCGTCCACAGCATCCATGATGGGTCAGGGCTCCCTGGGCTGCTGGATGGGAGAGAGATCTGGAGGGGCTCCCGCTCGGCAACCAGGCTACAGGCCGGGTGCCCCCGCTCACTCACCTGGCCTTCGTCTGTCCTGGAGTCCGGGTAGCCGCTCCGCCTGCCTTCTGCCTGCTCTGCCCAGCGTTGGCAGTGTGTCCTGCCAGGCCGGGCTGTTGCTAAGGGACGGTACCCTGGAGACTGGGAGGGGCCCCAGCTGTAACTCTCTAGGCACCAGAGCCTCATGGCCCTCAGCATGGCCCTGTGGGGGCATATGGCGGGCCGAGAGGCACAGGGCAGTGCTGTTGCTGCCGCCGCTGTCCACCTGCTGTCCTGCTCGCTTACTCCCTGCAGTGCCCAGGTCCTGGGATAAAGCCAGGCCCAGGTGGTGGTGGTGGGGAGGGGGTCACTTCCTAACCACAAGGAGGAAGGGTGGGCCACAGCCCTGTGGGGACCAGTGTCCTGGATGGAGGGAGGCAAGGCCCAATTCCTGTGTGACCTGGAGCAGGTCCCCTCCCCTCACTGGGCTTCAGCAGCCACCAGCCCCTTTTCACAGGGCCGCAGCCAAAGCTGCTGAGGGATCCAATTTTAAAGGACTCGAGGTGACCCAGGCCCCTGTCCAGCAGGCGGTGCTCACAGCTGGGTCCTACAGACATCAACGTTGACTTGGACAAAGCAATTCCTGGTAGTTACTTAGGGCCAGTCAGTATGGGTCACCTGGTGGTTGGTTTCCAGGTCTCAAACATCACTTGGTGGGCTGGCTCATTCATGACAAGCTGCTGAGCCAGGGGCTTCAGTACCGGCCGGAGAAGCGACCCTGACCCCTGACATCCGTAATCCAAGAGGGACCAAGGCCGCCATTACTGAATGCCTTCTGTCGAGACTTTGGACATCTTGCCAACCGAGAGCGTTACACCAACAGTCAGGATTGAAAATGATAATGGATTTCCCAGGACTAAAAACGTGGGCCCCCGTTTGGGGACGCCACCACCCACAGAGGCCCAGAGATCATCAGAAGCTTTTCAAAGCTTGCGGTTGCACACAGCACAGTGGTATTGTCCAAAGTTGCTGCCACAGTCAGAAGCCAAGCCGTGGATCACAAGCCACCCGGCGCTGCGATTCAAGCTATTGCAACACCATCAGTTTTATGAGAAACTGCAGTGGCACTCTGCTGCAGAAATTCTTGTGGCTTGCTGCAGTCCAAAATTCTTTACATAGGCAAAGAAATACTCCATTGTGTATTTTTATGAGGGTGACAAATGTCGGATTTTTTATATATATATATATATATAGAAAAATGTAGAATGTAACCACAACTATTGTAGCTCTGTTTGGGCATCTCCACATTTTTAAGAGAATCAGAATTTCAACAATAAAAAATTGGAAGTGGCCAGGGCCCTTCCGACCCAGAGGCCCTTTTCACTTTACCTCCCTTGAGCCTTGCTTTGCACAGCTGTAGAATGGGGTGATGCCTGTGTGCATAGTTGTCTGAGGAGATGAGACACAACCGTGTGTGTGGAGTGCCTGGCACAAGCTCCCGGGGCTGTAACTTGTGTCTCCCCACCCAGCGGGGCCCCACCCTGGACCAGGAGCAGCACAGCAGCCCCCCTCCAGTTCCCCCACCAGGAAGAAAGGAGGAAGGACCAATGCCATGAAATCATTTGGTTTATTCTTGAGCTCCGACAGGCGCCAGCCTGCCTTCGCCTCGTACAAACAGCACCCTCCAACCCCTGTTCGTCCAAAGGAGAAAACCGGGCCATTGTTGCCACACTGAGGGGTCACTGTGAGACGCCAGGCGGCCCCATCCTGAGGGCTGAGGGTGGACGCTGAGCCTTCCGGGCTGAAAGGGGCTGTGCCCCGCCATGGTTCCTGGTATGACCATTCCCTGAGTCAGGAGGTGGTAAAAAGCTACCACGGTACCAGGCCAGGCACTTGGGCTGGGCAGAGAAGGGCACAGGGTTCCCTGTTTTGATTTAAAAAAAAAAAAAAAAAAAACACCCCGAATATCTTGGGCCAAGAAGGGCAGCATAGAAATAAGGAGTGAAAAAATAGATTCTCTAAGGAATATAAAAAGGAGCCAGCTGCTGCTACAAAAGCTACACTGGCCGGGGCGCCTCATGGGATGTGCTGGGGTCCCTGGCTCTCTTCAGGGCCCATAGACCCATCCTGTTCCTACCGGGGTCCCAGGGTGCGCCTGCCACTGGTGACAAACAGAGAACAAAAACCCTGCCCTCATGGAGCTTCCACTCTGATGGTAAGAAGTTACATAAAGAAAATAAAATGAGGCAGTGGGGGGTGGAGTGGAGAAGAATGACTTCCAATAAGGTGGTCAGGGAAGGCCTCTGGGAGGAAGTGACGTTTGAGCAAAGACCTGAGTGACAAGGAGCTAGTCATGTGACAGCTGGGGGAAGAGCATTCTAGGCGGAGGGAACAGCCAGTGTCAAGACCCTGAGGCAGGACGCTATCAAGAAAAGCTTATGGGGTGCCCGAGTTTGCCTGGGCAGCAAAGCCTGGCTGCAGACATCTCAGCACATCACACACGCACACACTCTTCCCTGCGTTGAGGGAAGGATAGAGTTTGGGGGAAAAAATCTAGGATTAAAACTTTGTCTTCATATAACCAATGCAAAAGGGCCTGAGGGTTGAGGCTCGCAATTCTGGACTGAGATGAGAATAAGAAAAAGCTTTAGGGTGGGGAATGCTTCGGGACGAACAAAAATCAGGGCAAGGGGAAAAGGGAGAGAAACTCAAATCATCCACCTCCACCAGAAAAAGAGAGGTCTCAAACTCAGATGCTTCAGGGGCCAGACATCTGGCCCTAGGAGGCATGTGGGGCCTGAGACTCACACTCACTGAAGAGGGTGCCCCGGACTCAGATCCAGGCAGGCACGGCCCAGTCCGAAGCTAGAAATCCAGATTTTTGTGTCAGCACTGCCAGTTCTCCAACAAGGGTGATGGATTGATTCAAAGTTTTGTTTTTAAAAAAAACAAAAACTTCTCTCCGGGTCCAACATCTGCATTTGTCCCTGTAGGCCGCCCATTTGAAACCTATGACTCTCTAGCAGGTTCTGACGTTTGGACAGGATTATGGCTCTGCCGCAGGGTCCTCTCTGGGGTACTGGTGACCCCCAAGGACACCCACAGCAGTGGAAAAAGTCCCCGTAGGGGTCCTCTTTCTCCATTCTGGAATCTACTCTGGGACTCACACAGTGGTCCCAAACACGGCAGGCTGGAGGTGGTCCCTGTCCTCTTCCTCCCCAGTACTGTTGGCAAGGTGTGAACTGGGCCCACCAGGGAGTGGGTGACTGGGGACATTGGCCGGCAAGGGCCCCAGGCGCTCAGCCTCAGCCAGGGTGGCCATCAGCCCAGCCAGGGGTGGCCGGCGGCGGCAGATGTCCTGCAGCAGTTCAGCCCGGGGCTGCAGCTGCCTGATGAGCTTGTCCCTCTGGCACACGGCAGCCTGCAGACTCTGGACAGTAGCCTCGGAGGTCAGCAGCTGCTCCTGGAGAGCGGCAATCTCACTGGCAGGAAGGCAACACGGGGCAGTTATGGCACGGGGGAGCCAGAGGTTCTCTTCCCCTGCTCCCGACCTCCATCCCTGTCAGGATAAAGTCCCCCTATTATGGACTGAATGTCTGTGTCCCTCCCTCCCCGAATTCATATATTGAATCCCTATGCCACAGTGTGATAGTACTTGGGAGATGGGGCCTTGAGAGGTAAGTTTAGATGAGGTCATGAGGGTTTCCTTGTAAGAGACACACCAGAGAGCTTGCTCTCTCTCTGTGCCACGTGAGGACACAGTGAGAAGATGACCATCTGCAAGCCAGGAAGAGGACCCTCACAAGGAACTGAATCTGTCAGTACCTTGATCTTGGATTTCCCAGCCTGCAGAACTGTGAGAAATGATTTGCTGTTGTTTAAGCCACCCAGTCTGTGGTATTCTTTAACGGCAACCTCAGCAGACTAACACACTCCCTCATCCATCCCCGTAGCTCTTCCTGCAGTTCCCTTGTCCCCTACACCTTTTCCTATTTGTTGTTCAGCTTAGATGGCTCCCCCTCCAGGAAGCCTTCCCTCCGGGCCCCCTCAGAGCCGTGTGGCCCTCCATCACACACACCCAATCACCCCATATTGGAACTGCCTAACAATGTGTCTGCTTGAGGGCAGGGCTGCATAGGTCTTACTGATGTGCCCTAATACCCAGCACAGTGCCTGGCCCATAGTAGATGCTCAGTAAAGATGAAGTAATGAATCCAACCAGCTCTGAATTTTTTCCCACCCGGTCCTCAGCACCACCTTCCTCCCTGGGCACTTGTCTCATCTCTTTCAACCCTCAGCTAGAGGGACTCTTCAAAACTGCTGGTATCATCCCATCCTCCCCTCCTCAAGAACCTGCCATGGCTCCAGTACCTACATCAGGCGGCTGGTGGTCCCTGCACCACTCAGGACCAGCCGATTTTGCCTAGTTAGATACCCACACTTGTATGACATCTCTCAACTTTACATAGTGAAAACTAAGTCAAGTATTTTGGTGTTTGTTTTTCCAATCCCACCAGTAGTCCGGCTCCACGTGAATGCACACGATTTCCCCTGCCGGTCCTCCTTTCCAGTCTCGGCTCTGCCTCCGCCCACCTCCTCCGAGAAGTCCATGTGGCCGGCCCCGAGCCTCACCGGTCCTTGGCGCGGCCCAGCTCGTCTAGGGCGGCGCGCAGCTGCTGGTCGTGGCGGGCCAGGCGCTCGGCCTGGGTGCGCACCGTGCGCTCGGCCGCATCCAGCCGCGCCTCCAGCTCCGCCGCGCGCCGGTGTACCGCAGCCAGGTGTGCGTTCGCCTCGCGGATCTGCAGGGGCGGCGGCGCTGACATGGCCCCGCCGCGGTCCAGGCCCAGCCACGCCCACGGGCGGCCCGGAACCGGTCCTGGCCGCGCCCACGGGGCCACGCCCCCAGCGGTCCGTTCAGGGCTTCGGCGTGATTGGCCGCGATCACTGCTAGGCTCCGCCTCCAGGGCTGGGTCTCGCCCTCCTCAAACCCGAACACCCCCGCTGGTTCCGGCAACTCGAAACTCCACCCCTGAGCCGGGCCTAACTCCAAGATTGGCCAAGGTCTTAACAAACCACGCCCCCAGGTTGGCCTTGTCCTCTGGTGGCGCCCTAGTTCGGGCTCTGGCAGCAGGATTGGTCATTCCCTCGAGACAGAACAAACCCCCCCCCCCCCCCCACTTAGAAGCTAACGCCGGGTTGGTCAGGCCCACACGCCTTCAGGTTATGTTTGGGCTCTGGCCACGCCCCGAGCCTAGAGCATTCTTCATCCCGCCCAGGGGTTGGACTAGCCACAAACTGGGCACAGACCACATCGTGCTAAGAATCCGAGCACTGGGATTGGACACTTTCTCGTTAAGCCCCTGAACCTGACCACGCCCCCAAATAGTCGCACGCTGTTCAGACTCTGGCTTAAGACTGGCCACTGGGCGTAACCAAGCCTCCCCACAGATTCGGGCACTGGGAGTGGCCACATCCCGCCACGTCCCGCCCCATAATGACGTCTCTCTCCTATCAAGTGGAGCACGGCCCCGCGGTCTCCTCTGTGCCTGTGGATAGGCCTAGTACCTTTGATAGTCCCGCCCCTAGTTAGGCCCCAGCTCCGGGAGTCAAACCACTCCTGACCCAGGACCTTCTGAGCTGAACTAGCGACATCTGCCTTCACTGATCCTGGTCGGCCTCAGTTTCCCCCTCCAGAAATCGGCCAGGGCTGCACGCGCTCTTCCTTTACGCCAGTCCCGATTCCAAGCGCTTGAGCGCGACCCGTGTCCACCTCCGCGGCGCTCAATAAAGTTGCTCGCTTGTTGCCGTCCCGCCCGCAAGAGAGGCTGAGCGCGCCGCCCAGCAAGTCTCGCGAGAGTCAGCGGCGTCCGCCCTTGGGCGCTGGGAGCCGGGGCGTCTTGCGGTGCGGGGCCCGGGGTGTTCCGTCATGGCTAAGACGCTTCTTCACCAGTACTGGGACATCCCCGAAGGTACCGAGTGCCACCGCAAGACCTACGCCACCACCAGTATCGGTGGTGCCACTGGTGAGCGCCGGTCGGGTGCCCAGGGCGGAGGGCGCAGGGAGGCCGTGGGGTCACTGGGGGCTGTCCGAGGGCGTCCTGGAGGGGCTGCGGATCTCGCGGGGTGGCAGTGGTCATCGTCGGGGTGTCTGGGGCGGCCTTGGGACGCTCGGGGGCTCTCGTACAAGATAGACTTTGTGGGGGTGTCGGACTAACTCACAGGGCGCAGAGGGGTCATAGGGTCACTGGGAGCAGTCCGAGGGGGTCCCATGGGGGCTGGGAATCTCGCGGAGTGGTACGTGACCATCGTCGGGGTGTCTGAGCCGGCCATGGGGACCGCTGGTGTGAGATAGACGTTGTGGGGGGATGGGTGTGGCAGGGTTGGAGGGCCCTGGAAGGTCGTGGTACATGTGACAAGCTGGTCACTGGAGTCGTCAGAATCCCTGGGTGCTGGCATTTTGAGGTTATTGTTGAAACGCTCACCAGGCTCTGGGAAAGTGATGGAGTGGGAAGTGGTGGAGTGGGACGGGGCCATTATCGGTGTCAGAGAAGCTGGAGGGTTCTGAGACTTTCCAGCTGGTGTCTTTGAGATAGTTTGGGAGGATCGTGGGTTATTATTGAGGTGTCTGAAGGCAGAAGTTTGAGAAGGTTCTGGAGTGGGATGAGGTCTTTGTAGGATCCAGGAGAACTGGGTGGTCAGAGACATCTGAAACTTTTATTGGGGGCCATCAGAGGGGTCTTAGGGGCGCTGCGGAGATGATAAATGAAGTGAGTCAGCAGCTACCATAAGGGTAGCCTTGGGGGAATCTGAGGGGATGCACAGCCCTGGCAGTCCTCTGCAGGGGAGACCCTGGAGTCTAGCCTCTTCTAGTCTCCTTCCCAATCTCAGTCTGAGACATAGGTATGATGGGTTTGGGGGCCACCTCTGTATCTCCAGCTCCTGCAACAGGGCCTGGCAGAATTTGAGTCTGCACTGGGAGGCTTTGCATTAGGACCTAGTCAACGCTACCCTTTTCTGCATATTTAATAAGAAGCACCGTTACCATTTTCATTTCTCAGAGGCGGAAACTGAAGGTTAGAGAGGTGGATGAACTGCCCCGGTGTCTTTGGGAGCCGGGCTGCAAATCCCGGTCTGCTCCTGGGGGTGACTGGGGCAAGGAATGTGCCTCCAGGGTCCTCCTGAAGAGTCTTCAGGAAGGCTGAAGGGGGAGCCCCAGGGGATGGGTTTTGTGGCGTCTGCTTGAACAGAGCCTGGAGGGGGCTTGTTGGAGGGTGTTTGAGGGGGTGCGGGTGGAAACCTTTGACGGAGGTGCTATGTCGGGTGGTCGTGGAGAGACTCAGTTTTGGGGGTGGTCGCTGGCTTCCAGGAGCCCTACAGGGGACCCAGGGGTCTTCGAGGGCGTCGCTGTGTGCGTGTGTCACTCACTCTGCCCGCCCGCATTTTCTCACTGACCAGCTCCACTCAACACTCAGGACCCGATTAAACGTGCTCCTGGATCCTCCCTCACCTCCCCGCTCCTTCCATCCCTGCCGCCCCTCAGCCCTCCACCCAGGGAACTCGTTTCACACTTGGCTTCCCTGGGATGGTGAGCCCCTGTAGGGCAGGGAGCCAGGCTCTAGCCCAGCCCAGCACCCTGTGGGAACGCAATAACTGGAGGAACAAATGAGTGAGGGAAGGAAGGAAGGAAGACAGGGCAGTAACTAGGAATGAACGAATGAGTGACTTCGTGAGTGAATGAATGACTGTGAATGCATGAGAGGAGGAAGGCCCACAGTAACTAGGATGAATGAATGAGTGACTTGTGAATGAATTAATGAGTGAGGGAAGGTACACAATAAATGAGTGGATGAATGTACGTGGGCCCACAGTTACAGATTGTGAATGAATGAACGTGCACTGTGTCAAGACGGTCACTTCAGGAGGCTAGGAGCAGGCGGAGGGCCTGGGGAGGGGCCTTTTGAGGGGGTGACGGGAGCCTGTGGAAGGGCCGAGTCAGTAGAGACTCTCGAGTGCTGGGGAGGGTGACTGCAGCGTCTGAGGAGTTAGGTGGGCTCCCGGGGACACGGGCTGGCACATCACCTACTGAAGGATTGCTGGGGGGAGGGGGCCAATCCTTGACCCTGGGATGGTCCGGCACCTTCCAGGTCATCCGCTCCCAGGTAAAGGACTTCTGAGGGGTCTTGGGATTGTGGGGCACTCTGTGTCCCACGTGGCCTGTGAACTGGGCGTCCCTCAGGCAGGACCGCAGGCAAATGGGGGTGGGGTCAATCAGGTTCCCCCGCCAGGACTCACTGCCTGACTGGGTTTGGGGACCGTCACTGAATCTTGTCAGTGGTTCTTCGGCAGAGGCTCATAACTCCTGCTTCCTGGCCCAGCTCTGGAGATCATGCCTCCCCAGGTCCCAGGCAGGATGGGGAGCCCCCTCTGATTCAGCCTCTTTACAAGGTGGGGTTTGGGGGTGGGGACGTGTGAGAGAATGACTGAAGAAGGGGGTTTGTTGGGCCAGGGCGGGCCGAGCAGGCTTGGGGGAACCCCAGACTCTGGTCCCCTCCCCCCTTCCCAGCCTTCAGCCGCTCTGAGGGGAGCAGGGACCCTAGGGTTCATCGTGGGATCAGGAGGGATTCGATCTGGGGAGTCCCCAGGTGGGCGCCTTGCGTGAGGGAGCCTTCTGTGTGTGTGCTCTTTTCCTGTCGTCCCTGGGGCTCAGTTTCCCTGTCTGGGAAGTGGGGTGGCCCTCTTGGCCCTCGGGGTTGCTCTCAAGGTTACCCCCGCTGTGCAGTGTGAAAAGTTCCCCACAGCTCTTGTGAGCTGAACCTCAGCCAGGACTGGGGGGGAACACTGCTCAGCCAGGAAGGTCACGTGAGGGCTGCACGCAAGCTGTGAGGTCTCCAGAGGCTGCAGGCTTGGGGACCTGGCGGGGCCCACATCCCTGGGGCATCGGTGAAGGTGGCGCTTGGCCTTTGGGTTAGACCCTTCTGGCTTCCAGGCAGCTCTGCTGGGTGGCATCAGGCAAGCCGCTCTACCTGTCTGAGGACACCCCCCGCCCTGCCCACGAAGCGACGGATCAGAGGGGACTGAGCCCATTGGGCCCCGAGGAGGGTGAATGGGGTGGTGGGTGCCCTTGCCGCCTGGCAGGTGGCAGTTGTGTTTTGTCTGGGGTGGGCTGGCCCCAGGAGTTCTGTGCTGGCGGCCTGCTCACCCTGGTGGTCTGTCAGGAGAGGAGGGGTGCATTGTCTGCCCCGAGCAGGGTCAGCTGGAGGGTGGGGAGCCCCGTGTTGGAGCCAGCCAGCTTGCCTTTGGTCTGATGTCCACTGAAGAGGGTCTGGCTGGGGAGGCTGCCCGAGGCTGCCCCAGTCTTACCCCAGACCCACACACGGCCCAGGTCAGCGTTCCCTCAGGATGCCCCAGGCTAGGACCTCAGGCCTGGCCGCCCACCTGGCACTTGGCTCCAGGCCTGGCCCCCACCAGGGCCCCTCACACGTAAAAGCCAACGTCAGGGGCAGGGCAGCCGGGGCGGCGGCAGAGATGTAAGAGCTGATGAGAGTGGCGAGGCTGAGCCAGCCAGGGCGAGGGACGGGCCCGGCGGTGGCGAGGAAGAGGCCTTGGGGCCCCGGAGCGAGCCTCCGCGCCTCTGCTAAGGAACCCTGGGCCGTGCGGGTGGATGCAGCCTGTCATGGGAGTGGGGAGCGGGGCCAGAGTGCCAGCGCAGCCACCAAGGCCCAAGCCCATCCTTGCGGAGGCCGTGTGCTGGGCTGGTGCCCTGCGGGGGGCCAGCAAGGGCAGGGGGACGCAGGTGGCACTCTGTAGGCCTTGGTAGGGGGAGGCCTGGGGGCTGGAGGGGGCGGGTGAGAGCCCAGGCCTCGGAGCTGGGTTTGGGCCCCAGCTCATCGACTGTGGGACTGAAACAGCCCCTCCTGGGCCAAGCAGTGGCGCCAGGAGCCACCTTGGTGGCTGCTGTGAGGGTGAAGGGAGCGGTCACTGTGGAATGGGGAGGGGCCTGCCCCCAGCTAGGGCCCGGGTCTGACTCACCTCCCCGCCCTTTCTTCCCACAGGCCTCATCGCCTCCGCCTACAGCGTGGCGCTCCAGACCCCGGCCTCCTTCCTGGAGGGAGTGGCGAGGACAGGACGGTACACGTTTACCGCAGGTGAGCGAGCGAGACCGCCCGGCGCGTGGGCTTCTCCTTCGCGGGCCCTCCCGGCGCTGGTCTGGGCCCCTGACTCAGACTCAGGGCCCGTCCCTCCCCTCCGCTCCTACAGCTGCCATCGGTGCCATATTCGGCCTCACCTCCTGCATCAGCGCCCAGGTCCGCGAGAAGCCTGACGACCCTCTCAACTACTTCCTCGGAGGCTGCGCCGGAGGCTTGGCCCTGGGAGCACGCAGTGAGTGAGCCCGCGCCCCTGACCTCTGCCACCCCTCCTCCCTCTCTTGTCTCCCGGGCCTGGGCCCGGTGGGGGCGGCGGGCAGGAAGAACGCGCATCCAGCTACAGAGCCGGCCGTTGCCCTGAGAGCTCCCAGCACCGTTGAACCTTGGCCGCCAGCTAGCGTAGCAGTGGTTTCAGCTGTTGCTGCTCAGGCAGCTACCCGCGCCCACCTCGCCACACCCTCCCGCCCTCCTGGGGCTGCCTGTGACACTTGGCGTGGCCCCCGAGGCCCCGTGCGTGGACTGTTCCCGTCCCCTCCCTGCCCTCGCCGCCTCGCTCGCTCTGCTCCAGCCCCGTGGCCTCCTTGCTGTGCCCCCTGCACACCAGGCACGGTCCTGCCCCAGGGCCTCGGCATGGGCTGTGCCCTGCGCCTGAACACCCTTCCCCCAGATGTCAGCACGGCGGCCCCTCTCGCTGTTCCAACCCCCCACGTACGATCCAGGGTGTGTGATCCTGGCCCCCGCCCGCCCTCGCTTCGTATCTCTCTCCTGTCTGCCGCGTCTCTCTCCTCTGTCTGCTGCGTCTTGTCAGAGAACACGAGGTCGCCGCCTGTCTCCCCCGCCAGCCCCTGTGCACGCACGGAGCAGGTGGGGCTGGCCTTGGAGCTGCAGCCCCTCTCCCAGTACCCAGGGCCCTGCAGGGGAGCCGCTCTCACCATCCCCACTTTACAGATGCAGGAACTGAGGCTCCGAGGGGGGATGAGGTGGCCCGAGGGCACCCGGGAAGCAGGAGCGGATGCTTCCCTAGTGGGAGGCGGGCCGGGCCCCAGGCCAGCCTTGCACAGTGGAGCCGCCTGGACTAGGAAGCAGACGGCTCTTCTCGCCTGGGCGGGGCGGGGGTGCGCGGCGGGCAGAGGCCACACTCAGATAAACCGCTGGGCCTAGGGCCCAGCAGGCCGGGAGTGCTCCGTGGACGGTTCCAGCAGGGCAGAGAGGGAGGATGCTGAGGAGGAAGGCCCGCGCCCTCCTGGCCTTCGCTTCGAGACCTTGGCTGGGGTCTGGGTTTGACCAGCGCCCCTGAGCCTGCGATGGGGGTGTGAGCCCCGCGCCCAGCAGGCAGACCCCCTTCCTGCGGCCGCTCTCAGGCCACAGGCGTCTTGTGCTCCCCGCTTCCCGGACCGCAGGGCGGGCTCAGCCAGGACACTAGCTGAGACCGACCGACATGCACCCGTCCCCTCCCGCCCCCGGACCCAGCAGCCTGGACTGCTGCCTCCCTCCTCCCTCCTCCCTGCCTCAGTTTCCACGCCCGTCTTCACAGGCACGGGGCCTGGGGGCTCATCCCGGCCACCCGAGCTTGGAGTGGGGGCTGTCCTCTCGCGGTCACTGCCGGCGCCCCAGGTGGGCATGAGTGAGCCGCCCGCGTGCGTGCCTGACGCCAGCCTCCCCGCTCTCACAGCCCACAGCTACGGGATTGGAGCTGCCGCCTGTGCGTACATGGGCATGACGGCCGCCCTGGTCAAGATGGGCCAGCTGGAGGGCTGGAAGGTGTTTGCAGAGCCCAAGGTGTGAGCCCTGCCGCCTCCTGGAACTTCAGGCAGGTTGAAATTCGTCTAAAAATAATAAATTCTGTGTATGTCTGTGTGAGTTTCCCCTGCTCCGTTGTTCTCTGGGGTGCAGCCCTGTCCGAGGAGTGCTGGGTGACAGGCCAGCGCTGGTGAGGGCCTCAGGGCGGATGCTGGAGGAGTGAGGAAGCGGCAGGAGATAAGGCATCTGGGTCTGTGCCTGACGGCCCGACGGCGCCAGCTGGGCCCCGGAGGAGGGAGCAGGCGTCGGGCAGGGGTCTGCGGGCCTCGGCCTGTTCTCTTGGCGGGCAGGAGCCCACGGGGGGCGGGACTGGGCCCTGCTGCCCACAGCCCTTCCTGCGCCCCCCCGCTGCAGGCCCCTCTCTGGGCCTCCCCCCAAAGCCAACAGCATGTGGAAAACACACCCAGGCCCCATGCACGGCCCGTTTCCAAATTCCTGGGTGTTGGAGTGGAGAGCCCTGGACAGCCTGGCCCCGGAGCCTCGTCCCCATCCGACAGGTGGGTGACAGGCCACCGGGAGCCCTCAGGGCAGGTGCCCACGGCAACAACGAGAAGAGGGACTCGAGGTCCTCGCCCGCTGCTGCCTGTCAGGCCTGGTGATTTAGGTGGCTCCAGAATGCTGGCACGGCCTGGCCCTGGGCTTTCTGCACAACTGGCTCAGTTCTTCCTGGAAGCCAGAAAGGAAGGCCCGGCATGTTCCAGCATACCTCGATGGGCCATAAATTAGGGCTCTCGGCGCCCCACCCTAGGGAGCAGGGTCGGATGAGGGTGGGATCAGGTCCTGGCAGGGGTCTGGGCACTGCAGGTGGCCCGGGGGCGGCAGGAGCGGGCCAGGCTGGTCGCAGCCCTCACGCACCCCCTCCCTGGTGTGTGGCCCGTCCCTCCTTCCCCTTCCTCCTCTCTTGGGGGCCTGGACGTGGTTGAAAGCCAAGCTTGGAGCCTTGCTTTCCTCCTCTGTCCACCCCAGCTAATAACTCATCCGGGTGTTAAGCAGAGCACAGGGCCCCAGCCCCACGGCCATTGGCTGGGCTGGCCTCACCACCATTTCCTTATGCCCCCAGCCGCCGGACAGCCATGCAGGTCCCTCCCAGCCCAGGCCCCTCAGCCTCCCCACCTGCCACACTGAGCCTCTCCACGCTGACACGGCCCCTCGTCCAGCACGCCCTCCAGGGAGTGGGTGCCAGCGTCCACGTGCGGCCTGGGACCGGCCACCGGCTCGGGGTCACGTCCGGGCCTAGCTACCCGAGCCTGGACTTGGGGGTCTTTGAGAGAGGGTGGAGATGCCCCACCGGCCCATGGACTGGGAGGGGAGGGCCCAAGAGGGCTCTGGGCTCTGAGACCTGCGATCGAAACCCAACACTTGGTTCTTTCCTGGCTCTGTCTTCAGTTTCCCCGCCTGGGAAGTGGGGATGACCGGGTCCCTCCCTCAGAGATGTTCCCTGAAGAGGGAAAATAGCTACACCCCATGGAAGCGCCCTTTCCCTGCCCTCTAGGCGGCGGCCGGGGTCCCCTGCTCCTGCACCAGCCTGGTCTGTCCTTGCGGTTGCTGGCAGGGGGCGGAGCCCACCGTGCTCGGTACCCCCCCAGGTCCCCAGCACCCTGCCCCGACCGCGGAGAAGTCAGGTTCCATCCCTGCTGCCTGCCTCTCCCTCCTTCCACGGCTTCCCGCCTGTCCCGCCCCGCAGCAGCCCGGGCAGCAGGGGCGACAGGTTCGAGTTGGTGGCGGGTTGGTAGCGTGGCCCCGTCGTCACCGTAAATAGGGCCTGTGATCGTCATCGGGGCCGCCAAGGGCTGGAGCCGGGAGGACCTGTTCAAGGCCCCGCAGCTGGTCACTTCCCAGCCCCTGCACAGCAGTAGCTTCCAGAACCAGATCTGCCCAGGGCCCCCGTCGCACCTACACCCTTCCTCAGCCCCCGCTCTCTTGAAGCCCAAACCCTGTGCCGGGTCCAAGGGCCCACAGAGCGGAGGAAGAGCTCATTCACGGCCAGCCAGCCCCAGCCCACTTCCGGGCCTCAGTTTCCCCTCTAGCTCAGGCCAGGGCTGTGCTGCCGCCCACCCAGCCCTTTGGGGGCTGGCGGCCAGCGTTGGAGCGGTACCCCCAGCAACGGCCCAGGCCCCCCCAGAATGGGGCAGGAGGGAGCAGCTGCTCACCGGGCTCCAGGCAGCCCCAGGCCCCTCAGCCGTTAACAGTACTAAGCTGTGAGGGGCCCGCATCATCCCCACACACAGGCCCCCGGGGCACGGCCCCTGTCCAGTGGATCCAGTTCCCCTGCTCCTCGACCTGGAACCCCACATCCTGCCACAGCAGCCCCGACGTGGGGCAGTGGAGGACCTTTCCAGAGACACTCATCCCCCACCTCGACGCAGCCACCCCCAGCCCGACAGTCTGGACTAGCGAGGGGAGGGGGCGACAGGAGGGCTTCCTGGATGAGGCAGAGAAGGGAGGACCTGGGCATGAAGAGGTCTTTGCAGACGTGCACAAAGGGGAAGGGTGTCCCAGGCAGAGGACAGCGCAAGATCAAAGGCCTGGGTGAGGGCACAGCAGGTGAGCTATACAGGCCTGGGGTCAGTGGTGGGGCATTCCCTTCCCGAGGACCCTAGCCCTGGGGACACTTGCCAGTGGGGACAAAGCTGCAAGGACTGACCCAGCCCTCCAGGCCGGGCCGGGTCTCTGAGCTCTTAGCAAGCTGAGAAAATGTGAGCCATCCAAGTAAGAGGAAAGGAGAAAACCCTTCGAGCCCTTCCCACCTGCCAGCAGGGCCCATTTGTCGATGGTGATGTTGCTGTCATTTTGTGGGCTTGTTGCATCCTGACAGCAGCCCCGGGAGTGAGCTCTTGACATTAGTCCTGTTTTACAGATGAGGAAACTGAGGCCCCAAGAGGCGATGTCACAGGGCCTGGCTCACAGCAGGCACTCAGTGTTAGTTCTTTATTTTATTTTGTTTATTCTTTTGGCCGCACGGCACGGCATGTGGGATCTTAGTTCCCTGACTAGGGATCAAACCTGCGCCCCCTGCAGTGGAAGTGCAGAGTCTTAACCACTGGGCCGCCAGGGAAGTCCCCAGTGTTAGTTCTTTTATTATTATAGCTATTGTTGGCAAAGAGCATTGTAGACTGTCTCTGAAAGACTTCCCATGTGGTCGCCGTGGCAGGAACAAAAGCAGCCCAGTGGGACAAGGGAGGTGTTTTTGCGGCCAAGTGATCTTAAAAGCAAAGTTACACCCTCACAAATTCCTGTAAAAAGTTATATTGGACGTGGGCTGCAGGACACACGACGCTTTCGAGGAGGCCCCACAGGCCTGCCGTTTGCCCCTGCTGGACCTGGAGGCTGGTCCTCTGCCCTCTCACCCCTTTTCACACCCTTCTGCCTTCAGAGTCCATCCTGGGTCTGCCCACATCTCACTCCCTCCGCAGCTCACACCCAGGTCCGGCCCTGCCTGGACCTGGGTACTCACCCCCATCCTGGTCTCCGGCTCCGCCCTCACCCCCAGTCTGTCCTCCCCACAACAGCCAGTGGCAACACCAGAGTCGGGTCACGTCCCCCCTCTGCCCACAGCCCTCCAGGGCTCCCACCTCCCTGGGGATAAAAGCCCAGGTCCTCCCCGTGGCCCACAAGGCCCTGCACGGCCTGCCCTGTCCCCTCCCTGCCCTCCCCTCCTCCCTCTCTCCCCCTCGCTCACTGTGCTCCAGACACACGGGCCTCCTCACTGTTCCTCCAACACGCCAGGCACGGTCCTGCCCCGGGGCCTTTGCACAGGCTGTGACCTCTGCCTGGACGTCTCTCCCCGCAGATGTCCCCTAAAACTCGCCAACTCACCTCCTTCAGTTCTCAGTTCAAATGTCACCTCCTCACTGAAACCTCCCTGACACGCCACTGAAATGGTGCCCCACCCAGCCCGCAGCGCCCCACACGCCGTTTACCCTCTTCTCTTTTTGTCCATCACACTTACCAGCTTCCAAATCCCCCATCACCCTCCTGTGTACTGTTTAGTGGAGCATGGGACATATCCTGGTTGTTATACCCTTGGGTCAGCACCCAGCCTGGGAACACAGCAGAGCTCTGTAAATACATGGCCCAGCCCTGCTCTGGGCAGGGTCCCACTCACTTTACCCCCATAGATGATGGCTGCTGGGGGGTGGGGGGGGGGTGGGGACAGGTAGGAACTGTCTGTGTTGTGAGGGTCTCGAAGCCAAGACTTACAAGTGTTTACCGAGCACCTACGTGTGTCAGGCAGAGACTCGGGCCTGGGATCCCATCTTTCTTGTCAGCCAGCAAGACCAACGAGGCCCCCGCCTTCCTGGAACTCAGCCTTTGGTCTGAAGGAAGAAATAGTAAAACAGTAAAAAAAAAAAAAAAAAAAAAAATAGTAAAACAGTAAAATGAGCAAACATGTAAATGAAAAAGAGTGATTTAGATAAAACAGTGCTTCAGAGAGAAAACCAAGGTGACGAGAAACCCAGCCAGAGGGAGGAAGGGCCAAAGCCTGGCATGTTCCCAGGTGGACACAGCAAGGCAGGGCAGACACTTTGGAATCCATCCTGCGTCCACCATAGCAGGCGCTTCGGGTCCTGGCCCATCTGAGCACCCCGGAAAGGGCTGCTCCAGGAGGGAGCAGGGTCCCTGAGTGCCTCGGGGCACCCACTGCCGCTCCCACACCGAGGGGAGGGTAGAACGAGCAGGAAGGAGACTGGAGGGTGGAGTCTCGAGAAAGGGAGAGCCGAGGCTTCCTGGCTGGTTTCTGGTGGGGGTGTGAGGCCCCGGCCCACCCTCACCGCCCCACCCTCGAAGCCCGAAGCCGGGTTAGTCGTCGCGTCAGGGCTCTGGAAGTGGGCGGCAGAGCTTTGCCCCCTCTCACCCTGTCTGGCTCGACATCCAGGGCTCAGAACCCAGGGGAACCCCCAGTGCCCGGGATACAGGCCATCTCCAGCATCCTGGGCCAAAGAGTGACTGCCTGTGGGGAAACTGAGGCACGCAGCAGCCACCGGGCTGCCCGGGGGCCTCCAGTAGCTCCCCTCCAGTCACCCACCCTCCGTCCCTCCACTCTGGCCCTCCTTG